AGATGTTGTCCAAGAACACTTGCAATTTCCGCCTCATTCGAATCGGTTATTTAGGCTCATTACCGGATGCGACGCTGATCTCCACCCCCTCAATTGGTGGAAACTCTGCTCCCCCAGCAGAGACTCATGAATTTTCACTTAAATGTCGAGAGTTCGGATTCGGACGCAGGGTCACGGAGTAGCCCGGGCACAAAGTCTCCAGAGAACTTAACTTTGGAGACATGTTTCCACCTTAAATTTTCACCTCTATGGACATCACTCTGGGTCAATGTGGCGTGATACAGGGCTGCAGAAGCGACATAAGATAAGCATTTCGGACGCCGCCTACAAACTGCACATGGCTCAACAGCTCTATCGGCTGAGACATCTTCTCAAGGTAATATTCTGACCGTTTATATTAATCACACCTTTTACCTTTCAGATGACAACATTGCGCGACTTTAAACTTGAATGGCGGGACTCGGGAGTTGCCCCTCTCAGCTTAGCTCGGCGCACCTGTCAACCTCCCGGTTCTCCACTCCCGGGGGAACACCCCGGACTCGGGAATCTCGGTGCAGCATCACTCCGCTCCAAGATGCAAACTTTACTGCCGCGCTTGAGACGATGTGACCGGTCTTCTATTCCGTGCAGCTACAAAACATCTCATGTATCCACCGGAGCTGATCCAATGTTACCTTTGTGATCCTCATTGTCTCTCCAGCTTAGAGCATTCCCCTTGAGGTTCCTCAGAAGATCAGCATCCAAGCCCCCGGGTCGAGATCATCACATAAGTCATCAAGCTCTCAAACTTCTGCTCTCCTCCTCTTAACCATCCATCATGCGTATTCTCACCGCACTCCTCGCCCTAGCCACCTCGACTATGGCAGAGACACTCCTATACAGCAACCCGCTGAACTCAACCGCCGACGTCGCAACCTGGGTGGCAGAGGGCCCCCTCACCGTAGCAGCCGTCAACGATACCCTCGAGCTCTCGGGCGGCGGCAACCCAGACGACTACTTCGTCTACTGGGTCCCCGAAGTCTTCCCCGACGGCATCCGCATCACTTGGGAATTCTCCCCGCGCAACGAACCCGGCCTGGCCATGTTCTTCTTCGGCGCCGCCACCGTCGCCGACGACGGCAAGGGGTCCATCTTTGACCCGTCCCTCAAGCCCAGGAACGGGAGCTACCCGCAGTACCACTCCTCCGACATACGTACGCTGCATGCGTCCTACTTCCGCAGGCGCTGGCCCGAAGAGAGGGCGTTCCATCTGGCGAACCTGCGCAAGTCACCTGGATTCCACCTTGTTTCTCAAGGCGCGGACCCCTTGCCCCCCGTCCCTGATGCCGCTGGTGCGTTTTACAAGATTGAGGTCATCAAGGACAAGCGCGAGGTGAAGTTCCGCATCAACGACTTGCCCATCTTTGAGTTTTACGACGACAAGTCCACGGGACCTATTATCCGGGACGGAAGAATTGGGTTCAGACAGATGCAACCTCTTGTTGCGAGATATCGTAACCTTCAGGTATGGAAGCTTTGAAGAAAGGACGATGACGGACATTGATAGATGTATTATGATGCCTTTATGTAATAAATAGTAAGCCACCACTACTACGGCCGCACTTCTCCAGCCTCCTTTAATCATCATGCTCCTGAACCCCATTCCGTAGCCTTGATCTCCATCGAATGGGTCGGCCGAGATCAGCCGACAACTTGGGCACAGCCTCGCTCGTCACAGACCCCTCGTCGCCAATCTTATCCAGCTCCTCGATCAAATCAGCAACATCCGGCGGTGGCGCCGTATCGAACACGGCCTGGATATCGCCGTGTGGCGAAAATCCCGAAAGCTGCCACCCCAAGAACCTTCGGCGGCCACCGCCACCATTCATCTTCTTCCTCATCCGGCGCGAGAATTGTCGCCTCTCGTATAGACTGATGAGCAGCAGGGTCGGCAAGTTCAGCGCGCGGATCAGCGCCACGTTGACCCTGTGAAACGTCTCGGCTGACACGGCGAACCGTAATGGCAGCAGCGTCGCAAGCGCAAAGATGTTGAAAGGCGGCGGGTACGCGAAAATGGCATCGCTTTTGACGCCCTCGAAAGTCAGCACCGCGCGGCGGAAGCGCACCTCGGCCGCCTCGTCGGCAATGATGTTGGAAAAGGTGTTTGTCAGAACGGCGACGAGGATCGTCAGGAACAGCGTGTTGCCGAGGAACGCGAAGCCGACCATGAGCGCCGGGCCGAGAATGATGTGGAACTGCGTCGACTCCTGGATGCCGGTACCGTCGAGACCGAACCAGATCCAGAGCATCCACTTGCAAATGGCGAACCACGAAGGCGTCTCGTTGAGGTTGTCGTTGGAGTCGATGAGCCACTGCAACGCAAGGAGGAAACCCATGAAGCACCAGCACGCGAGGAACGACAGCAGCAAGAAATCCTTCATCATGGCGTGCAGGGAGATGAGGACGATGTTGTCGGGTGCGATGTTGAAGGCGACGCGGGTGAGGAGGATCGGCGCCGCGAGCGGGAGGATGTGTAGGCCATGGCCGTCGGGGAAGTGTCCTGCACCTACGTCGTAGATGCGCGCGAGGACGTATACAGCGTAGATTGCGGAAAAGGTGACGTCAAGCCAGGACCAGAGGTTTTGCGCGTGGACCTCCCAGCCATGTTCCGCGACGGCGGCAACTTCGTCGAGGACCCAGCCGGCGGCGTAGATGCAGAAGAGGAACTCAAAGACCTCGTTGCTGCTGCGACGGTAGAGCATAGCGAGGAAGTAGAGTATCATCAGGATGAGGAACTGAACGAATTCTATGGAATTACGGGAGCGCGGGACGATGAGGCGGTAGTGGTTCAGGAGGGGTGCTTTCCGCGGGTCGTAGAGGGAGATGGGGCGGTACTCGTAGTGGTCGGGCAAGATGTCGACAAAAGAGAGCGGGGTGTAGACGACGCGGCCCTCGTATACGGCGTTGATGACGCGCTGGCACCCGGGCGAGGAGATAAAGGTCTTGCTCTCGGAGAGGATGGCCAGCTCGAGGGCGGTGAGTTTGCGTTCGAGACCACCGCGTTCCTGGGGTGCCCACTGCCGACGGCCTTCGAACTCCACGGCTTCGGGGGCGCCCTCAAACGGATCGAAGCCGCCGACGAGGAGGCGCGAGAGGAAGAGGAGGCCTTGGGAGCCCGGGTTGGCTTCGTGGAAGCGGCGGAGGACGCGGGCTGCTACGAGTTCGCAGAGCGTTGCACGTGCTACGTTGACGGGTTGGTGGACTGAAGTTGCCTGCTGGCGGAGGAAGTAGAGGCGGTTGGCAAGGAGGCAGTAAACTTGTTTTGGTGTTAGTCATGAGCAGTACTGAAGAGAAGGGGGATCACATACCTATGGTGATGTCGTTAGGATGATACAGACGCTCAACGAGAGGCCGGACGATGAGAATGTTCATCCTGGGGTCACTCAACTGGCTCAGTGTGTATGGATCATCTAGATCTCAGTGTGAGTACACTTGTTTCCTGACATTGAAAGTTGGTCCTTACCTATACTTGCATTGATGAGCCGGCGGACGCTATCTCAAGGTCAGCATCTTACTACCCCAATTTGACTGAACATCAGATATTCCGGGCTTTGATGGACGTACCGATGCATTGAAACATATATGGGCAGCTCAGAAACTGAAGACGTAATCCCTGGTTTCTCTTCATCGTCACCATCACCAAGACAAGCCTCAGTCTCGGAGCCGCCAGCGACACCAGGACCTTCGTCGTCGTCCTCCTCGTCACCACGACACCTCTGACGGCCCGTCCACAGCTTGGCCTCTTCCGCCATCTCCTCCGTCGGCGACCGTCTCATCTCCAGCTTCTCACAGGTCGGTGTGGTCCGTCTGCGTCGCAAATACATTCACTTTTGCTATGGGATACATCAAGAGGCAAATGGTGACGGCAGGCAGATCAAAGGGCCATGGACAATCAGAGAAACTAGCACCTGTCCTAATTGTCCACTGACGAATCATCCCCTTAAAAAGGACAATACGGAACAGCTGGGGTAAAGGGGCCCTGTTTTTAGTCATGGAATCTTGGCGATTCATTACAAGACACCAGCCGCGATGCCCAGGATTTGGGAGGAAACCATTATGTAAGTGCGAGTCGCTGCGCACGCGCGTAGCCGGTAACCCCTGACAAGGCGCCAAACACCGAAGCCGTGTTAAATGAGCCTCCCGGTGGAAGCAAATAACGAGGGACGAGGAGTCTAGAGAAAGAACGGAAGCTTGAACTTCAGATAGGATCTTCAGCGAAAGCTCCGTGTGAGGCAGGAATGCATGTAGAAGGCACAGGGGCAAAACGGAGTAGCAATAGATCCATTACATTTATCCCGAATTGAAGGCAACAACTCTGAAGGCTTTGGACCAGAGCAGACTGGTTGTGGGAGGGAGCATCCAACCCGAAGAGAGAGACAAAAAAGAGTTCACCACCGGCATAGCTACACCTCTTGATGCTCATGGAATTTACGCCCGGGAACTATTAGCCTTCATATTCCAGGCTTGTTCGTGGACTTGAGCACTCCACCTTCCAGTCACTTCTGTCCCGATCGCAGAGTTTGATAGAATGTAACGAGGTCATCAGACATAGACTGGCAATCTGGAGACCGTTGAACAGCGGATATCCGGGCTTCATCACTGTCTCCGCCAAGCCGGGCATGGCAAGAGTAAGGTAAGGGAGGTCGCGCTCGCAAACCCGGGGTCCACCGAGACCAAGCCTCTCGGAGCACCGGCCTTACATTTCTCCCTTTCGCCTGGCGCCTCAGCGGGGCCTGCCCAACCACCCGCAACCACCACCCCGACCGCGGGGTCCTATCGATAACCGTCACCCAGCTTCATCACCACGCAACGTCATCCAGGCAACGACACAGACGCCCACCAAAACCCAAAGATACTCACGACCTCACCAGGCTCACCACGCCTCCTCTCCGACACCCCAAGAGACAAAGATACCCCCCTCCCCCACGAACCTCAGCAACACACACAAATCACCAGCAGCCATGAACCGCCTCTTCGGCGCAGCCCCCAAGGGCCCAAAACCAACCCTAAACAGCGCAATCACAAACATCGACGACCGCATCTCCTCAATCGACGTAAAGCTCTCCGCCCTCACCGCAGAACTAAACACCTACCAACAAAAACTCTCCAAAATGCGCGACGGCCCCGGCAAAAACGCGATAAAGCAAAAGGCGCTAAAGGTCCTCCAGCGCCGCAAAATGTACGAGTCCCAGCGCGACCAGCTCCAGTCCCAGGTCTGGAACATGGAGCAGGCGCAGACGATGCAGGATAACCTGAAAAATACCATGGCCACCGTCGACGCGCTCAAGACGACCAATAAAGAACTCAAGAAGCAGTACGGGAAGGTGGACATCGACAAGATTGAAAGGTTGCAGGATGAGATGGCGGATTTGATGGATATTGGAAATGATATCCAGGAGAGTCTGGCGAGGTCGTATGATGTGCCCGAGGACGTGGACGAGGCGGAGCTGGATGCCGAGTTGGAGGCGTTGGGGATGGAGGCTGAGTTGGAGCCCGAGATGGGCGCTATGCCGAGTTTCTTGCAGGAGGAGTTGCCCGAGTTTGTGGATGAGGAGCCGGCCAAGGAGGGTGCCAAGCTCAAGGAGGCTGCTGGCTAATATGCTTGCAGAGTGTCGTGTAGGAAATGAGATAAAGACTAGATGGGAGAGCAAAGGCAAGCTTTTGGAGAGTTTCGTATCTCGGCGGAATGGCATACCTCATATCCACTTCATTACAAGTGCCAGGCACTGTGGCTATTCATGTTCACAACTCGAATTCACTTCTTATTGTTCCGAAACTCCTCTTCTTCCCAAAAATAAAACCAACGAGCCCTCCCTCTGCCGATACGATTCGCTATGCCAGTGAGATGCTGCTACTACTACTACTGCTATTTCAACACGCCACGTCGTCCGCCTCTAGTCCACTGTCCCAAAGAACCGCGCAACCTCCTCCAGCTCCGGGTCATTGTTGCAAAAGTCCCAGCCCACAATGACACTCGTCTGACTACAACAAATGATCCTGCGGGCATCGTATTGCAACTTAAACACCCTTGCAGGGCCGTTGTCGCCGTTGGCAATGTGCGGGTGGTGCGCCGCGTCCGGCACAGGGTTTTGCGCACCTTGTACCGGCACCGGCGTCGCCTGAGTCTGAACAGGCGCTCCCGGCTGCGTCGGCTGTGCTTGATTCTGAGCTTGTCCCTGGATGTGTAAATGTCCTTGCACCTGGGGCGTCGCAGGTCCGGCGGCGGGTGTAGCGGCGGTGGCGGCGGCAGCTTCTTGTTCTTGAGCGTGTCGCTGGCGCACAACTTCCATATGAAATCTGGTAATAGTCGGCTGCTGAACCTGTGTGCTTGACGACGGAGCGAATCCATTCAAGGGTGGCAGCGATGGCGGATCAATTGTTTGCGTCTCGCGGTTCGCCATAAGACGGCGCGACTGGTTGAGTTGCGTCTCCAAAAGAGCAGCGTTGAGCACATTGCGGAGGTCGGCTCTGATGCGCGGGTTTGGCTCTCTGCTAATAGCAGCCTGAATGTGTGAATTGTACACCAACATTGTCGGGTAATGATGCAAAGCCTGGCGCAGCTGTGTCGGTCCCCGGGGCACAACCGCGTCAATCAGGTTCATAAAAGCCTGTGCCGAATCGGGCGTAATGGTGGCAATAATGGGATTGTCGACGGTCGTCCTGGGAGAAGATCCCCGAGTGCCGCGCGCCGTGGATGAGGAGCTTGACTCCAAGTTCGCCAGCATCTCTTGTGCGGTGAGCTGTGAAGCCGCTCTTGCCGCAGCTTGAGCTTGGCTTTGCGCTGCCGCGGCTCCCTCTTCCTGACGCAGATGTTGCGTGTCCTTCCAGACGCCCTCCTTATCACGGCGCCAGATGATGATACTCTGGTCGTAGGAGCCAGACACGATGCGAGCGTATTTGCCGCCACCGCCGCCGGGGGGAAGAATGGCACCATACGCCGTAATGTCCTCCGGTCGTTGACTACCCGCGTTACGGGCCTGGGCACGACCACGGCGACTGCCATGATCGCTAAAGGGGCTGACGACTCCATCAGCTACCGCCTTAAAGTAGAGCTCGTCAATCCTCTTGGCCTCAGCCTTATCCTCTTCAGCGCTGTAAGGAAGATCGCCGAAACCAGCCTGGACCGTTCGCACAAGGTTCGTGTGCGCGCGCAGACTGGCGACTTCGAGACCCGTGAACCTGTCAAACACCTTGACCTCGTTGTCACTGCTGCCGCTAACAATCCTCCGACCGTCGTACTGCACGCAGGCAATGCCCTTGCTATGGCCAACGACTGTCCGGATACAGACCTGCTTTGTCCAGTCCCAGACCTTGATGTTTCTGTCACCGCTGGCTGACACCACTTCGTTGCCATGGATCTGAACGGCGTTGACAGCCGCGCCATGTCCGTCCAGAGAACCAACAAGGCTATACGCAGGCTTGAGGGGCAGGTCGTCCATGGGATTGCCGTATCCGTAGTCTCTGACGCGTTTCGGGGCGTTGAAGACGACATCGCCATCACCGTAGCCGGGGTCACCGTATTTGAGGGGACGGCGGTTGAAAATCTTGATGGTCTTGTCCTTTGAGCACGTGACCAGAATCCTCTTGTCAAATTTGATGTTGAGAACCGACTCGGAGTGAGCATTCTTGAGCCTTTGAATCATCTGTCCTGTTGAAAACTTCCACAGAATGACATTGGAGTCACTGCTTCCAGAGACGATCAAATCTTCGTCCTTGTCCGCATCGAACTGCAAGCAGAGCACAGATCCAGTATGGCCTTCCAGGGGCGGCCTCAACAATCGCTGGGTGTGCAGACTCCAGATACGAAGGGTCTTGTCACGACTACCGCTAACGAGGTATTCGCTGTCGAATTGCAGACTGTATATGCACTCTTGGTGGCCTTCTTGCGGGTGATCCGGGTGGGGCAGCTGGAAGTTGGTGAACTTCCCAAGCTCCCAGTTTTGCTCCAGGCGGTAGCGCATCGTATATAGATACTTCCAGTCGAGCCTGTACCGTCGGCTAGGTGCGTCCCAGGACCATAGTGACGACCGCGAGATTCTGCCGAGCGCGTCGGTGGACATTATGGGCGGCAGCGAGTCTTCCTTGACAAGAGCGGCGCGCAACATAGGCGACGCTTTACCCTTGCCCTTGGTGTCGACGCCAAAATTTCTCTCTGTGCTTCGACGTGTGGACCCCGAAGCCGACCTGTCCAGATCCATATCTCCATGTTGCGGCGTAGCTGAACTCCGAGAGAAGCCGAATGACGAGGCAGGGCTGCCAAAGATGCTGTTGCCCATGATTGAGTTCATCGAATCTTCCCTGGTGACCGAAGCCCCGGCGTCCGTCATCTCGAGATCGTTGTCTTCGGATATCGCACGCTTCTTATGCGTGTGGCCGTCCTCGCATGATCGAACCCTGTGGAGAGAGCTGGGGGATTGGTTCTGAGGTTTGTTCGCATCTTCTTCCCACTTGTTGACTTCCGAGTAGATGGCCTTCCAGCCCTCCATATTGTACAGCTTCTCCCATAGCTTGCGGTCGAGGGCCAGTTCGTGCCAGGCGTGGCAAGCCTTGGCGACGTGGATGAGAGAGAGGGGATCGAGGTATCCGAGAATCTTCAGGCAAACTTCTGTCGGCAAGTAGTGAACGAAGTTGATGTACATGCGAGGATGTAGACGCTCGACGATTTCGACGATGGTCGATGTGGGTAGCTGGTCGAGAAGAGCAATAGCAAGCTCTGTTCATTTGGCAAAGTGTCGTGTCAGTTGTTACCGCAAGGACTTTGAGCAAGCAGAGCAAACGTCTGCCCTGCTGCAGCTGCATCACAGGGCAAGGTAAACGTACCAGTCTTTTCAGAGGTGGACAGGCCGGGGAGATGCTGGGCGAGCCAGGCGGGCAGGTCTGCAGGTGGACGCGAGGCCGAGACATCCTGAGTGCCGCTGAAGCTAGGGTTCAGAGGGTCTTCGGAGTAGCCCTCGTCGGGCTGTTGTGAGGTAAAGGCAGACATGTCTGGCGAGAGTGTGTAGTTCGAGAGGTTATGGAGATGTCGCGCAGGACTTGGTCTCTACGGCTCTTCTCTGATGGCAAGGTATGCGCAGTCGCGGGCCATGCGTGCGAGGGGCAGAAGGGGTTCGTGCTCGGTCGCGGGGTGGACTACGGTCGATTGGCTTCTCTGGAATGCTTTGCGGTGGTGGTGGTGGTCGTCGTCGTCTTCCTGGCCGAGAGTATGCAGCGGGAGAGAGAGGCAAGTGAGACTATGGGCGGACTGATATCCAGGGAAGTCTGTGGGCGACGTGATGCAAGGCGGCTAGGGTTCCTTTGATGGGCGTGGTTACGTATTGGTGGTGATGCAATGGTAGTGTAGACTGTTGTCTTAGTTGTGTCGCATCCAGAAAATAAAGCAAGGAATGGGTGCGGCTTGAAAGCTGCGAGTGTCGATGCAACAGCAGAACAGGCAAAGAGAAGAGGAGATGGGACAGGGTATGGGGTGGGAAAATGGTTGGATTGAGATTTTGGGATTGAGATGGAGAGTTGGATTGGGGAAAGGAAGGGTTGGTTGGATGATGTTGAACGGCGGGTTGAATGTTTGGATGTTTGGATGCTGGGCTGACCGGGGGCGGCAGGGCGGGTGGAAATGCAGCGGGAGCGCTTGGCCGTTGTTGGTTGAAGATGCCTGGATGTCGCCGTGAGGTAAGCAGGCAGGGCAATAATTACGGATGCAGGTAAGCGATCCAGACCTGCCGGATAATTAGGTGACAGTTCAGGTGAGCAAGGTGAACACAAGGCAATGGAAGGCAAGGCAAGGCAGCGGAGTGCGGAAGGGCGAGAGGCGGCGGCGGCGGCGGGCGGTAAGAAGACGGGAACCTTAGGGAAGCCAAGTGGGCACTGGGCGGGGATTGCTTTGCAGCCTGGAAAGCCTGTTTTTTGGTCCCTGGGAATCACCTCAACCTGGAAAATTGGTGATTGGGATAGGAGAGGGGAACCGAGGGAACCATGGAACATGGAAACACATGAACACAGCACCACAGCATCACAACAAGTTGACCGCTGAGCAACTACGGTACTATGCATACGGATCCACGGATACCTCATGCAAACCAGTTTTTGACAGACTGAGAGAGGGCGGAGGTGGCGGGATGGGATGGGGATGATGGAGCAATAACAGACGGGTCCGGCGATTATCACTTATCCTTGTTCTCTTGTCTGAAGACATTGCTCCTCACACTTCTATTGCTATTTACATACTCTCCTCAGTCTCCATGTCTGTTGATCAGAGCAATTGACCAATATCATCATCGCATCGCATCCCCTTATCCCCTCGGCATCGTCTCACGGTGCCCATCTCCAACCTCTCATCCTCATCCCCCCATCGACCCCCTCTGATATCCATACTGAGTGCGGATCCCAGACCAAGTCAGTGACAAGAGGTGTGGACATGCAACAGACAAAGTAGGCAAGGACCGGCAGGCAAAAAATAAGCCGCAAGAACAAGGGGGCCGCCCAAGCAATGCGGAGCGACCACCGGCCGCGGGAGTCTGCCGCCACGTCCGTCCACCGCCCGCATTCCACTCACTCACTCCGCGTTACTCCTATAAAGCTTTCCAGCAATCACTTTACATGGTGCGGGCAAGGCATAGGGTCAGACCATACGCCAAACCCGCCGCGTTCTCAGACAGCAGATTCTCCCAAACGCCTCCTGGAAGCAGAACGGCTTCCGGGAAGAATGTGAAAGGAAGCAAAAGATAATGAAGCATCATCCAGCCCTCTCACTCCCATCTACTTTCAAGTTGCCATACTCCTCAAATTACAACTTTCCCCCTCCCGCTTGTGCCTGCCGCTTCACTGCACGAAATACATACATACAATACCTAGGCTTCGCAAAAGACCCGCAAATGAGCAGCAACGGGTGGCAAAAATGCGGGAGGGGCTTTGAGTGGAGTTGAATTCAGAACGTGCCAGCAGAAAGCAAGATTCAAAAGTGAAAAAAGACCTCACCTCAAGCTTATGAGGAATCCTAGGTTTACTAACTACGGTTGGGCAAGAGTGTGGTATGACACATATGTGCCTATCCAGATTTAGACACACCCGCTGCCGGCCGACGACTTGTCTTGCATTTTGTATATCCCCACGAGCGCAGGGTAAGATCTTGTCTTTTGGAGAGTTCGTGATCTCAGATACTCGCATAGTACATGAGACACATATCTAGATCTTACAACTACCCAGAGATCCCAGGTTAGAAATGACCTTGATCTCATCCCCCCTCAGCTTACTTGAAACATAATCACCATAATACCCATCCATATCATGAGCCGTAGCGTTCCCTCACATATACCTCATACCCGCAGATACACCTCCCCAATTTAAGCTCACAACTCAATCGGCCAAGAAAGTTTATTCTTTTTCTCAGTGAATCCCCTTCTGTCTTGTTTGACTACCTACCTACACCTACACATAAATAACATTCACGATTCCCCTCCCCTCCGGCGCCGACTTGTCCATCGGACAGCAAAGCCCATGTTCCCTCTTTTACCACTCCCATCGGGCTGCCGAGACTAGTATGGTTCATCGCAACATGAAATGCTAATTATGTGTCCAGACTCAGCTCTAGCTCTTAGGTTCCTGTATGTTACCTTCCAAGTTGTTTCTCATGCATCTTGGCTTTCATCACTGGCCGGTGCCATAGGACGCTTTTTTGATACTGGCCCATTCCACTTAGCCAAGGCCGGTTGTACTTACTGTTGACTGTCTCGTCATTCACCGCTTAAGCAAAAGAAAAGAAAAATATTAGGTGAGGCAAATTATATAGACATTTTCTCGCCACCTACCTTCATGGTTTCCCTTGCGCCTACGAGCTGCTGTCGAGAGAGCCGAAAAAAACGGAAAGCCGAATGATAAGTCAGACGTACCTGTCACTGACACGTGTACGGTGCAGATCGGCGGCGGCGAAAGTCCCGCCCTGATCAATAGTTTCCCCCTTCTCTTCTCTCATTCGTGATTTGAAATGGTCAATTCTCGGCCCTACCATGAAAGTAGGTGGACATGATCGCTCTGCCGATTCATCCGGCTTCAGCCATGAGCCGACACCAGGTGCTTCTGCCCTCCCCGGTGAGCCTCCGAAAAGTGACAACGCCCGGTCCGGGTACCCGCATGACTGCGCCTACCTCTCAGGTACTGAAAGCGCGGCAAGAAGTTCAGGAGGCTCACTAGGACAAACACGAGGGATCCCTCATCGTGATCTCTAAGGGACTCTCCTGACAGATGCAGGTCGAGCACGAACAGAGGCGGCGGGAACGACGTCGCACATGACAGAAAACTCCAATGAGGAAGCCGGCTTGGCTTCAATGACTTTCCCATCCGCCCGCAGTCATGTCGCACGAAACTTTTCTTGTGCGCGCGCTGTTCGGAGCTGACCTTGCCATTCTCCAGAAAACCTCCGGGTGAGTTTCTTGGGTGTTCGCCTCTTCTGCACGTCAGCCCGGGACTCCCCTCTCTGAATGCTTGCCTCCGAAGGGGGCATGACGTTCTTTCTCTATTAGAGGCTGCTCGTGTGAGTGCAGGCGTGTCATTGCCGGGCGCATCGAGTCGCGCACAAGATCACGAGGCGACGCTCAATAATCAGATTGTTTCCCGAACTGCGATGAGTCAAGACAAGCTGTGTCCGTAAAAGCACAGGCTCTGGATGAGTGCTCTCAGAATGGAACGCCTGTTTGTGACAATGGACAATCAGAATGAGGCGAAATAATCCCCGAGCTTCGTCAGTCCACTCCGTGAACAATCGGCCTAAAGTGATTTTCCGGGGTACTTCGGCTCTTGCGTGGATCCACCACGAGTCCTACGGTCCCTATTCGTATCCGTGAGGTCTAGTCCTACCAGTTAAGGGATGGGCCGCGAGAGATGCCGTGGTTTGCGTGGGTGCATGCACGAGAGATTTGTCCCGATAGACTATCCCCAGTTTGTCCGTCCTCTGTGAGCCTCAGCCCAATGGTGACATCTTGGCATCCTCTGCAAAATACCATTGGTGAAAACCTCATGCTATCATAGACTCCCACCTGTCTTTGTGATGTCTCGTCCTCAAACAATTTTCTGGAGGAAAACAAACAACGGGCAAAGAAAGACCGGGTGCCGCGGCTGATCCCCATGCTCTTTGACGGCGTCTGCTAAACTGCGAATGGCATAAACTGTGCAGCTCAGGCGCATCGCATCGGTCTTGAACTATCCAGCGGCCGCCGAGTCTCAACCATGCCGCCTTGAGACGGGGCCGGTACTCATCATCAAGCCACCGAAAACGCCTCTCGCTCCGAGCAGCTCGCACCACCGCCCCAGCCCGGACCGCCCAGGCCGAGAGTGAGACGCACCGTTGAAGCCTCCAAGCCTGGGGCTGAGGTGGCCAGCTGCGATACTGGACTTGCATAGGTAATTCTCTTTTGCAGGATATGTACACGGGAAGAAACAAGGACGAGCGCCATGTTTGGCATCGACAGCCCATCCCACAATCCAGCACAGGCACAATAGGTAATCTGAAGCACATTGCAGCGCATCCTGAAGGGTGAGAACATTTGCTCGGGACGTCCTTCGTTCGGAGTGGATTCCGCTCGCCTTTCTGGAGGCTAGCCGTCGTGACCCATGTCGGCCATCCCATGTTAGGCGTTGGTTGAGTGGTCCAGAAAATCCCAAAATAAATTTGTCATGTGAGGCTCCCATTGTTTCCTAGACCTTGTGGGACAGCCTACCAGGTGCATGAAGATTGTGTTTCAACGTCTTTGACGTGTTTTGGTCAGCCCATGGAGGGTGGCTTACCGGGACTTGATCCGCGGCTGTGGATTGGATATCCAGCCAGGACTTAGTTCGCAGGGAATTAGGTTTTGTGGCCATGGAGCTAGACATGACGGTACCTATGCCCTTCAACGGGCGGTCGGTAGCCGTGTGCCCGGACAGACTGACAGCGACAGTTGCAGGGTGAGCGTCGTCCTTGATAGCGGTGTGTGGGCGCAAGAGACCCTGAAGAGACTCGACAGCAGAGTCAGAAGAGACCGGGATGGCAGTGCGAGGCTGCACGGCGCATGTCCTGTCTGCGGCGTGAGAGCAGGGTAGTTCCGTGCATTGGAGCATCGAAACAACAGACGGATGGGAGACGCTCATGCGGTTGTCTGAGAACCCATCCACCGATCTCGTCTGCGTATGTGAGTGGGTGAGTCTGTCGGTCGGGCGGCTTGAATTGCTGACGGGCAGCATAGCACAGTGGTGTCTGGAGAGCGAGGGGGGCATATGTTTGTATCTCTCCTAGCAGCCGGCAGCGCAAGATGTGGTCAAAGTTTGCTAAGAGAAGACGCCTTGCGATATGTGCAGCAGGATATACGGCGGGCGAAGGGGGGAAGGCCCGAAGAGTGCAGACACGACCGGATGGCTGTGCTTGAAGGCGCCTGGCGCACCGTTAGTTTCAATGTTGGGAGGAGACCAACCGCGATGGACTGATTGCGACTGCAGCGGCAGTTGTCGATTGATGCAGGCCGGTCAGGTCTTGTTCGGGTCTTGGCCGAGATGGCGATGCGCATCGAGGTCAGTTTGTCGAATGCAACCCCCAAGATAGGGAATATGCGGCATCAAGTACGGACTGCGGAGGATGTAAAAGGGTTGGTCAGGATGTCTCTGCTCAGAGGGCAGGAGGGGGTCATGGAGATTTTGGCTTTGAGAGCGCAGGAAGGAACCCTTCTTTCTTGGTGCCTTCCCGAGACTCCCCAAGTGTCTTATCGGAGCACAGGCCGGTGCGTTAGCTAAGCCGAGATGGCTTATCTGTACCTTCTCAGGTCCCAATGTGCTCCGTACCTTCCTCACCTTACCTTAGTACCTAAGGTACCTTACGCTGAAGTTGTTTCCAGATTCCCTTAATGTATCCGTAAGGTACCTACCTCTCCAGCTTGTTTTATTTTCTTTTCTGAAAGATATCAAGGTGCTCTGCAGTCCATCTTGACTGATTACCTAACTTGCCGAACAGCTCACCGTATGATATTGCCATCTCCATGTCTCCGGCTGAACTTGACTGAGCAATACGAATCATGTTGGGGCGCAAGTGGCCTGAGGGGTTTGGACCATCAAGTGGGCAGTCGGCTCATTGTGCAGAGCAACCATGGATGATCGATTTCTACAGCGGGGGGACAAAGGGCCCGGCAGGCATGTCGTGCAACGAGTACCTTGCAGACGCAATGGGGGCATGGCAATCAACCCGACACCGGCTTGAAGGCGCTCGAGCATATGAATACTGTGTAAATTCAGATACAGCTTGATGGTTGTGATTTGTTGGCTTAAAGATGTCTGCAATCGGCTCAAGACAGCGTTGGATTACGACTTCTGTACGGTATAGACTGCGGAGTACCTTGTATCGTTGATACGATGCTTGTTAGTGGATGGTGTACTTGCCCGTCCCCAGGAAAGGCCCGTTTCCTCCATGCTCGTCATCCAGGGCATAACAATGACAGCCGTCGGAAAACAAGACGCAGGATGCGGGACACGGGACGGGCAGAATGGAGGATCTGCTCAAGACAGTAGTTAGTCAACAATCCTCCTCAATCCGTATAGTTTGGATAGTGAGTTTTCAGGAAAATGTGTATCATTGAGTCTGCATGTGCTAGAGTCTGCCCCCGGTCTATCCGTACCCTCCATTACAAGTTTCCCCTATCTTTGTTCCATCAACCTTCTCGAACAATGCAGTGCCGGCCAAGTAGATTTACGGATGTGTCCAGGTCTTGTGTTCCTCTGCCTCGTGCTCAATAAACCCCCTCCTCTTTGTCAGTCCGAGTGCCCTCCTTCTTGTATGCCCCAAGACTTGTCCACTCCTTGTCTCCAAGGATCTACGGCGTGGACGGTCGCTCTGTCCGTGGTGGGGATCTCGATATTCCTCTGTGATGCTGCAGAGTTGTTGAGAGCACAGATGCTGATTCCTGATAGAGGTCTTCTTGGCCAGTGACGCACCCAAGATGTCCCCATTCCCATCCTAATCAATTGTTCCTTCCTTCCCCGTCGAGGCTTGCCCTGCAATACGTATGAACGTACTCTCGCGCCTGAAGGCTGAAGGCTGAAGGGATCGTAATACGTACCGGGCGCGCACCACGAGGGCAGGTTCAATCAATGGGAGACGTGAATCTGTCCACTGCGACGGGAGACCAAGCCCAATCTAGACTAGCGCAATCACCCGCTAATTTGAAACGCCCAAAACCTCCATCAGATCAATGCGGCCAACCTGAGGCCGCCTCTCCACCACAGTACCGCGCAGTTGTACCTCCGCTCCCACTTGTGCCTCTTTCTCTCTCTCTCTTTTCGCTGGGCGTCTCTCTGCCTTTCCTTCACCGCGGTAGGCTCAAAGACTCAAAGGACGTGGTTCCGAATCTGTCATCCTCAGACCTCTCAGCCCAACCAACCCGTTCCCACTCACACAACATCCGCCCACCACCACCACTATCCCACCATTAGTACCCATCACCCCCTTGCTCCTGCTGCCAATACCTTACTCTAGGGGCCCAGGCAATCAGCAGAGCACGGGCGACGAGACACTGTACCACATTGGACCGCAACAGCAACTGGAGCTAGGAACTGGGGACTGGAAACCCGACCTGGCTGGCCTGACCTGGATCTTTCCCAAGCACCCAAGCAAGTTGAAGCAACCACAGAGACTCAGGCGCTTCCACACTCTGTATCCTCAGATCCTAAGGGTACGGATAGTCTCCCCCCCCCTCTGTCTTTGCCTTTGCGGCTTGCCTGTGCCTGTGCCTCTCGCCTTACCCCCTAAACCTTTGCTTTACGTTCCCCCATGCTGCCGTTCACTACCTAGTACCTAACCCAGCCCCCCTCCAGGTTGAATCAAGACACACCCTCATGCACGCCAACTGCATCAGCCTGCGTCCTGCAACAGCGTCCCCAAATCCAGCGACAACTCCAACCTCGACTTGCAATTCTCTGTCGGCAACCTAGCACTCCTCAACCGACACTCCCAAACGATATCCATTTCGCAAAACCTCTTGGCCCACGAAGGCTTGTTCGAGATACACGCTATCGCCCACCACTAGTGACACCTAATAGGAGGATCAAGGACCGGACAGGGGTCAAAAAGGCAACTTGTTTCGCCCCGATAGCCCGCATCGCTCCGCACCGCTCCGCAACTTCGACTCGTCGACTCGAAAAACAGACCCGCCCAACCAGCCCAACCTCCCTCCTCCACCGACTCTCGGCGCCGGCACTTCTGTCTCACACACACATACTGCCTTCTATCTCTCTCTCTCGCATACGCACACGCAAACCCCGTACACGAAGACGTCCCTATTCCTCCTCGTTATCCGCCTGTTCCAAGTCCGGTAAAACATATAGAGGGGGCCCTATTCGATTACCACAAGGGGGGGAAATACTAGAGTCCGAACGCCCATCGCTCAAACCCCTTGTTCTCATTTTCGCCCTCCAAGAACAAACCTACCCTTCTCCCGACGACGCCCATCGCCCACGAGAACCTTCCCCGACGCCCACCGCTACATTGTCGCTGCTCCGCCCAAGCACCGATATCCTGAACCCGAGTCCACTCGACCAGACCGACTCTCGAGAACCCCGGTGCCGAATGACGTGACCCTGTCTTCGACATAGGACCACGAACCGCTTCATCGATCCTCCACCGCCTCGCCCCTCGGTCCTCGCACGATCCCCGATCCTCTTCGTTGCCGTCGTCGTTGTAGTCGACCGTCGTGTCCTTCTATCCTCTCCCCTCCATTCACCGGATGGGTTAGGACGTCATGGCTCATGCTCCTCTCCTAAGAACAAACACGGCTCCTGTATTCCAGCAATCCAACGGAATCGGCGGCCTACCCAATACCATGAGTAATGCGCCCCGCGCCAGCCAGCTTTCCGGCTCGACAGCGTACACATCCTCTGGCTCTTTCGCCTCCTTCAACAGCGCATCCACGGTGACGCCCCCGCAAAATGGAGGTCCCGTTCAGGCTACGGCCAACATCATCAACCAAAAGGCCGATGCCTCGCGGTCCCTTTACCAGATTTGCATGTCGTTGAAGCAGCGATTATCACAGGTACCTGGCTTCGACCCCTATCTGCAAGAGCTCGACCCCAACGACCCTGTCGAATCACTGTGGGCCCTGTTCCGCACCGGTTATCCGCTACTCGACATTTACAACGCCCTGCAACCAGAGAAGCCCCTCGAGATCGAAGGCGCAAACGCCAGTGCCAGCGACAGCAAAAAGGCAAAAATTGCCCTCTTCAAATTCATTCAGGCGTGTCTAAAGGATTTGGGTATACCCTCGGCGGAATGCTTCGTCATCAGCGACGTACTAGGAAATGACACGACTGGTTTTGTCAAGGTATGCGACACGACTACTGTCTCTCCTCCACGGTGACCTCTGATTCAAGATCACCATCAATCATGTAAATTGAAAATGACCAAATCTGACCTCGTCCTAGACAACTCAAGTCGTCAACTACGTTCTCGATATCGCTGAGCAACGGGGTCTCTTGTTGCAACTCCAGCCTTATCCCGAAGATGATCTTCCTATGGAACCAGGCTCCAAGCTGAGCTACCGGGATCATATCGTGAAGGAACTGGTAGACACGGAGCGAAAATACGTCCAAGATTTGGAGAACCTCTACGACCTGAAAAGTAGCTTGGAGACTAAGGGAATAATCACTGGCGACACCATTCATCAGATTTTCCTCAACATCAACGCTATCCTGGATTTCCAACGCCGTTTCCTGATCCGTGTCGAGACGACAAACTCCATGCCCAAGACTGTACAGCATTGGGGTGCTCCATTTGTCACATACGAAGATGCATTCGACATCTACCGTCCCTTCATCGCCAATCAGCGCAAAGCAGCCCAAGTCGCCAATCAAGTCTTTGACCAGATCAAAGCGAGCGGGCATCCCGTGGCCGCAGACTTCAACACTTTGGATGGCTTCCTCCTCAAGCCCATGCAGCGTCTCGTCAAGTACCCTCTGTTGTTGAAGGACTTGATGAAAAAGAGCGAGGACGAGGATATTAAGGCCGATCTGGCAGGCGGTATCGAGTCCGCAGAACGAGTTTTGTCAAAGGCCAACGAAGAAGTCAACCGAGATCTGTTGGACGAGGCTCTGGACGACTTGCGAAACCGCGTCGACGACTGGAAGAATCATCGCGTGGAGCAGTTCGGCAGGCTGCTGATGCATGGTGTTTACACTGTCGTCACAGGGAAGAGCGAGCAAGAAAAGGACGTAAGTTTTGCTCTACAAATTTGCCATCCCCAACCAGGACCAAACACTGATTTTCGTAGTACGAGATTTATCTCTTCGAATGCATACTACTTTGCTGCAAGGAAATCTCGGCGAACAAGAGCAGGGACAAGAAGGATAAGACTAGGTCTACAGGGCCCAAGATCAGGAACAAGAATGCGAGACTTCAGTTGAAGGGCAGGATCTTCATGACGAACGTTACTGACATCGTCTCCCTCGCAAAGCCTGGTATGGAAAGGAAGTAACCCTAGTCCTAACCCTCGATTGCTAACCAATCCACAGGATCCTACATTGTCCAAATCTGGTGGAAAGGCGATCCTGGCGTGGAGAACTTCATGATCAAGTACACCAATGAGGAGCAGATGAAGAAATGGGCAGTCGCCCTTGAGGCGCAACGTAAGGAGAACACGCCCAACAAATCTGCTACGAGTCCCGACTCGGCGGCACCCGACTTTGCCTGGACACGAGAAAACGCTGGCAAGCTCGAGAACCCGTATCTTAACCAGCAAGACGATGACGATGACGAGGAACTGTGGCCACCAGCCTCTGCCCCTGCCCAGTTTCCCATGCCGACTCAGTCTACAGGAGGCAGCATGTTGCCTCGCAACGCATCGAGCACAAGCCTGCGGCAACGCGCCGCAACTAATGAGAGCCTTGCCGGTATGGTGAGGGCTCCGCCTCCTAGATTCCCTCTGCCGCAACCACCGGCGCCTCTCAGTCTTTCGACCCAGGTGCCTGCTCCGGGTGCCTCTTCACCTGGTGCCCGCGGCGGCGACTCTTACTTTTCACCCGTAGCCGATTCGCCTGTTTCCTCGCGCACGAGCACCGCCAGCAATATGTTCCCTAATCCAGCATATCAATTCCCCAAGTCGCTGACCCCTCAGCCTGGGTGGGAAGATCCCAATCAGAGATACACGGCCCCCGCAATGCCTCGAGCTCCTTCGAGAGATGGTTCTTCGCAGCACAGGAATCCTCGCGGACCGTCTTTGCCGGCAATGGCTTCCAACAGTCAGACTGCAGCACAGCAGCAGCGCAGCAGATCGTACAGCACTCCTGATATCAACGCCCCCGGGAACATTCGTCGCACTCAAGGGGGCACTCCTGTTCCGGCGGTGCCTGGCATCCCGGCGCATCTACACCCAGCCCACGACCAGAATATCCCGCGGTCGCAGACCGGCTCGCCCAGGGTAAATGACGTTCCCATCAGATCAAACACGCAGAGCCCGGGCGCTCAGCGAGAACGCCAGTACGGCCACCAGCAATCTGGAAGTTACGGTGGCACCATGTCCCAGTTCCCCGCTCAGCCAATCTATCCCCGCCAGGGAACGCCAAACTCTGTCCATGACCGGCAGCTCAGCATTGATGCGGCTGCGTCTATGAATGCCATGTTGTCTCCTCCCCTTGGCACTGGCGGGATCAGCGGATCTCAGTCAAACCCGCTTGCCAGCCCCGACCTACCGATTCCCACGCAGTTGAAGGTCAAGGTGAACTTTGTCGACAGCGGCAACTACGTCACACTGGTTGTTGCATTCAACATCACATACCAGTCTTTAATTGACCGCATCGACGCCAAACTTGCGCGGTTCACCAACAGCAGTATCAGCAAGGGCATGCTTAAGCTCCGATACCAGGACGAGGATGGCGACTTTGTCACTATTGCCAGTGACGATGACATTCAGATCGCCTTTATCGAATGGCGCGAGGGAGCCCGCGCCACTGCGCCGGGAGGGGTAGGCGAGATTGAGCTGTTCTGCGTTGGAGAAACGGCCTAAGCGCCTCAATTCTATGTCGAAGTAGGTCTTTTGGGAGAACATTGGGACTCTCCCAGGCGCATCATACCCATATACCCACCGGAGGGCATTTCTTTGCATACATGGCGTCCGGAGCAGTTTATTTCACCTCATTTTATACCTCTCAGCATCGCATCAACAAGCACGTGGCTGCTAGACTACCATACATCACGGGGTTCGTAGCGGCAGCCATTTGCGGTTAAGAAGCATTCGGACTCGCGCACGAGAATTTAGACGGTTCCATCACGACCACATATTTCCTTGCCCTCAAGGACACGGTCCCCTATGCAGGGGTTGTATCCAAAGGCACTCATTCACCGGATCGCTCCTTTTCTTCTTTTTGGAAATACTTGACATCAAACTACCCTGGGCGACTCTGGATGTTGCTTGCATACGTCTCTATGGGGTTCTTCGATATCGAACTCTTCAGGGCAGATACATCCAGGGCTCCCATCATTTCACTTTCACTTCTTCTCTTGGTTGATTACTCTTTCTGGGATGACTAACCTACTTTCAATCGTTACGACTTTGATGATGGGGGACGAATTGTGATATCTGGCTTTTGCCTAAATGGTTGGGTGCGGTTTGGCTGGGTGGCAACTGAGCTGCCATCAGCCAAGAGGGAATGAGAATGCCTGCCATGTCGCTCGTTACAGTTTTGGGGATCGGGTTCTTGACTGGCGCTAGCTAAAGGTTATTCGAACAATGAACAGGCGTTACTGTTCCTTCATGATGATGTCGAGCCTCCCTTGCTTGGTGACGTTTGTTTGCTTGTCTTCCATCGTCATTACTAGGTGTTGAAATCTGTGGAATCTGTGATTTGTGATGTGTGGTTTGATATACTTCATGGACGATGATGATCCCAGCTTACGTGGTCCACACGAATTAGCGACGCTTAGAAAGAGATGTCTGCCTGCTTCTGTAGTGATTGTTGATGTTTGGCTCGATTGTTTTCAATTCCTCCCCTGGTTGTCATGGCTAACCATTATCTTTTCCGCATGTCCTTGTCACGCAAAAAAACTTGGTGGACCTCTAGTTCCTTGGATGGAGGAGTCTATAAATTCTAGTGCCCTGCTGTGATTCATGATGGATTGGTCGATCGTCTTCTCCAGGTCGTGGCATGTTGATAGAATAGACCCCCGGAAGGGATAGTTGCACCATGTTGCACTATCAACAACTTTTTTCTCTCGCATTATTTTCTTGGGTTGACGAAAACAAGATGTTTTCTGCGATCGCACTCCTACCATCCGCGCCGCGGCCTGATCAAGTCTGCATATGATCTGTGTTTGTTTACATATCGCCTCGTGACGGGGGCGAAGACCACAATGACCCGGACATCCTGATCTGTAGGTACCTCGGGTTTCTCGAGGGTACGGCGAGGGGACAAGGAGAATGGGGAAACAAGATACAGCCTCTCCGTAGGGAGTAAAGAAACAGTATAATTTAGCAATAGATCAACGACAGCGCGAGGGAAAGTAGGACTCCTCCTAGTAGCCGGTCCTTTCACGACTAAGTCCAACAAGTACCTTACTAAAGAATACCTCAGAATAGGAAAGAGAGGGGTCACTGGACGCTCCTACCCGGACCAGAGCAGCGTGCCCCTCATCCAACCCGGGCATCTTTGAGGGCGAGAGAGTAGGTACTTATGTGCCTCCTTCTTCATTCCTATCACTCAAGTGATTCGGGTCAGTTGGTCGAGGGGTTCTTGGGGGAAGACCCGAGTGTGGATCTCAGTCCTCTTGGCTACTGATACGACACTTGAGCTTTTTGTTCGATTCTTCATGGAGGAGCTCTTCTTTTTTTTTCCCTTTTATATTTGCGGGCTTCCTAATCTTACCTGCCTCCTTCCCTCCTTCTGGCATATTCATTTGGGAGAACGCTGACCGCCCGCGGTCCCCGGTCACCTGACCTTTCACCTTCTCACCTCCCCTTGGGCAACCAAGATGGTATATGTTACTACTCAATGGTCATCCTGTCACTTGAGTGATTCGGGTGAGGTGGTCGAGGGGTTCATGGGGGAAGACCCGAGTGTGGATCTCAGTCCCCTCGACCATTCATCTGACACTTGAGTTTTTGGTTCGATTCCCCGTGGAGGACTTTTTCTTTTGTATCTTTTGGGCTTCATCAATGGCCTCCCTGACATCACCTAAAGGCGTGGCACGGAGGATACGTCCCTCGGGTTTCCTCTTCTTCTAACTCTCCTTTCGCCAAACCATTCGATAGAAGGCGCCCATCCACTACTTCTGGTCACCTGACCGTCCTTTGTCTGCCGTAGACAGCAGAGCTTACATATAGGACCTCCAATAATGTGCCTTCTACCACCACAGCAGCGCCTGTTGGGGTTGGGTCAAACGGTTTGCGAGGTGGTTGAGTGGTTGATGTAACAAATTAGTCAGGGAATCCCTCAGGCGTATCGAATATATGGAAGGTTGGTGCTTTAATTGGCTAGTTTGGGTGTTTTCTCCTCATGACTTGGGAACTTCCCATGGTAGCACGCGTGTAATGTCAAGGTTTTGTGTCTATGAGATTGAATAATCGCCCTCGCCATTTGGTTGAGCAGTGGCATATTAGCCTCATGACGGTAGTACCTACTTAATGGACTCCCTTACAGAGTGTTCTGATCAAACTACCTTCGCGTGTCCAAAGGCCTTTGGTATCTGAGCGCTTCATGAATCAAGTCACAGCAAGTGATGGCGCTCTTTGTTGCGTTATGAAGGACACTGGTGTCGAAAGCGAGGCTGTGACGATAAACTCATGATTCTGATGCGGGTATGCTTTGGACAGAGGTATCAAGGCCCTCGTTACACGCGTTACTATGTTTTGCGAGAGATTCGAGGGTGAGAGACGGGAATGCAGGCTCTTGGTATTGATGGATATCTGTAAATGTCTTTCCACACCGATTGACTATGTTGAGTACCTTCAAAGATCCCTGGCAAAAATTGCCACGTCTACGAGATGCAAGTCACGAGGATTATGAAAACGATGTACAACTACTCCGGCTATACATCAGGTTAGGTCATGATCCACGGCTGGTCGTCAAGTTAGTTCTGCCCGGCGAGTGGAAGTAAGGGTAGCCGAAGACCGTCGATTCATCAGATCAGGTCGCAGATGAAGGGAGTCTGCAGGAATTGAAATGTGAAGGTAGCGAGTATTCTTTTTTATCCGCCTTGTATGGTACATAGTATACAACGTCGATCCTCTTGAACGCCAAATTCCGTGTGTAATAGTATGGTTGTACATCTCAGATGCCACCAGCTGTGCTCGATTCACCACTTCCAGACGGATCAGATAACCGTCATCGGCCAAATCCGCCTCTGCTGCTGCCATGGTCGGTTCAGCTGTCGTGAACGTAGCGCCATCGCCCTCGCGGTCTTTCCCGGAGTGTGCCATTCGGGGAAGACCTCCATCTCCAAATGGTTGCCCTGGTCGCCCCCTCCATATTTGCAATAAGTTCGGTGTATAGCTCCGTCTCCGCCGCGCGACCTGCTTTATTTGCCCTTGGAGTGGGGAATCATCTTGTCGTACATACGGCCGAGGTGGTAGTTGACGGTGGACGAAGGCTCCTTGGGCTTCTTGGGCTGATCCATGCAGCCGCGCAGGGCGTTCTCGAGGGCGGCGCAGCCAGAGGTGTTGTACCCTGCTGAGGCCCAGCATGCTGTAGGAGAAGAAGTGTCAGTCCATGTAGCGCAAGGGGTATGATGATGAAGACGCTGCGATGCCGTCCAGGGGTTGTTCATCTGGTGGCTGGGATGAGGCAGTTCCATCGAGACAGGAGAATATGCCGGAGAGGAAATTGACGAGCGAACACAGGGTAGGTAGAATTACCAAGAACTGAGGTCATGACCTGCATGCAAGGCTGCTCTACCTTGCCGTTGGGGTTACGAACACGGAGGACCTTGACAGGTGGCAGGCGCATCGGTTTTTGCGGCATGATGGGCAATGTGCGTGTATCTTGAACGGTCAATTATGTCGTCGGGTCGTTTTGAAAGCTGTGCAAGCTATGCACCTGTCGTTGAATCGTCGGATTCGGTTGTCGAGTGGTGGATCTTTGCGTCCGTCGTCATACACCTCTACCAGGAAAGCTCCCCGATGCTTCGCAAATGGACGCCATCGCGAAAGCTTTGATGCGAGCCCCCCCGGAACTTTTTTTCACCAATCACGTGTCTTCAGCCTCGTCGATCCCTTGTAATGTTGCTGATTGGCCAAAAACGCGCTATGGCGTCTGGATGGTGGGGCAAGACACGGTAGCCAGACAGCCGTGCCTCCGTGCACAGCGCGCCTGGGATGCCCCCAGAGCTGCGACTGCAAGCGGCACTTCAATTGTGTGAGGGTGTGTGAGGGCCTCGGGAGCTCCCGATTGGCTGCCTTGCCTCGAATGTAAACAAAGGGCGACCTCGAAAGCGTCCCTTTCTGCGTTGCCCGTTGCCAGCCCACCACACCGATTTTCACTTAATGGTCCCCTTCCTGCGCAATATCTGCCCTCCTACTCCCCCTTCCCGGTTCTCGATTTAGAAACCTGGAGGTACCTTGAACCTTTTTTCTTCTTTCCCCAATCCATCCTCCAATTTCCGCGCCCAGGAACCACAACCCAATCGCGACACAAGCCGATACCTCACCCAATTCAGGGTATCGTACTCTAACAATCCACGACACAGTCAACACTGCACTACAATCGTCATTCGGATTCTATTGAGCCGTTTCCTGGCTTTTCAATCCGGTGGTTGTTCTGCATCCCATCTTCCTCACCCCCTGCACAGTCGCGCTTTGTTTATCTTCTTTTTTCCGCCCCCAAATCGCATCGCGCCTCCGCGGCCACTTTTCCCACGATCACGTCCGAGAGCCTTCTCCGCGCCGCGTCGCATTGAAGCCATAGCTCCCGCGCTAGATCCCTCCAACACACTTTAACCTCGTCATCCGGTCATCTGGTCAATGTCTCGCAGTCGCCGCCACTATACGGATACGCGATGAACTTTCCAAAGTTGACCTTTAACCCGCCCTCGGGCAACCTCACACCCTCCCCTACCGCGCGCTCCTCCCGCGACCGCACCGCCAGCCCTAAGAGGGCGCCGGCCGGTTTCTCGAATCTTGAGCCCACTCAGGACCGTACCGCTAATGTCGATATGGCCTTCTCTAACTTCGACTTCACCACGCCAACCAAGGGAGGCGGCGCACCCATCTCCGCGGCCACAACACAGCCCGCAAGATTCGCTCCGATGTCTTTCACTTCGCCAGTCAAGAAGTTCAGCACAGCTGAGACCCCGAGACTGAAGGCCGGCGCTACAAGACTTTCATCGACAATGCCGCTAGATGCCCCGACCAAGACCCCATCCCCGAAGAAGGTCTCATTTGCCGACGCCAGTTTCCAATCCTTGACTGCGTCAACTCCCAAGCTCGCTCGCAATCTCTCTCCGAAGTCGAGTCCTTCGAAGCCTGCCGTCTCCGATTACTCAGTCATGTCAATTACTTCTCCGACAGCATCCCTCGTCTCCAACGATCGGTCCCCGCGCAGCGATTCCGATTCGAATCAACAGCAGGCCGAGTCCGCGGCAGAGGAGGAGGGACATGAGGACGACGATGAGGAGGAGTCTCAAACAAGCAGCAGGCCCGGCCAGTCGCCCCCAAGAGGTGTAGAGGAGGCTGGCGGGTTCGAGTCCCCTTCAAAGCTCGACATCACCATGGCCGATATCACCATGGTTTCTGACTTCGCCCCGTCGCCCAAGAAGTCTCAGCAGCCGTACACGTTCGCCACCATCGAACTTTCGGAAGCTGCAAAGGAGTTCTCGTATGCCTACCGCCTTCCCATTTGTATACTCCCTCACTGACTGACTTGCTCTCTCTAGTACCCCCTTCGACCCCGAGAGCTACGCCGATTTCGATATCACGTCTGCGCTCACCCCAGTGCCCAGCTTCGCCCGGCAACGGGCCCGTATTCCCCTCACAAAGCACCGGAAGCCCAGGGGCATTGTGTTCGAGAAGGCCATCGCAAGACAAGTTGCCGAGTCCCTCGCCATGGAAGAGCTCGAGGCCGCCGCCAGCTTCCGGCACATTGCCATGAAGGGCGGTCTGGCGTATGCCCTCTGTCCTCGAAAGAGGCAGAGGGTGGCCGAGCCCACGGCAGAGGACGACCCGGAGCCGTACTGGCTGGAGGATGTGGACGAAAGCGGCGTGATTAACATGATCGAAGCTCGCCGCGTCCTGCGCAACGACCTGAAGGCGCTTCCTGCCGGCCTCTCTGTTCACGAACAGCGCCGCCAATACCACGAGGAGGTGGAGAAGTACGGCGAACCCATCGTGCCGACCTGTGGGAAGAGGAACTATGACGGTGAGAAGAAGCGAGCCTATAACAATGGCCTGCTGACTCACACCATCATGGCGCCTCTTCTTGCGTTCCCGATGCCAGAGCTGAGCTTCGACTGGGTGCTTGAGACTGCCATTCGCGAATCCAATAGGGTTCATGGTCGCGAGCAGCCCAAGCATCGCAACGTCAGGCAGCCCATTGCCATCTTTGGAGAGTCTGACTTCTCAGTCATTGAAGAAGAGGAGGAGCCTCAAAGCCCGACTGCTAAGCTCCCTCACTTCCCGTCGACGGCAACACACCACTCGAGCTCAAGCCGAAAGACCAGGCTCGCTAGAGGCGCTGCCAATCTGGAGGCTAAGCTCGCCACGCTCCAATCAGTCATGGAAGAAAGGTCGCCTTCACCTTTGTCATCCCCCGTTCGACCCGGCTTCACCTTTGCAATGCCCTCATTTGTATCGACTCTCGAGGTCACCGAGATGAACCATGAGGCAACTGAGGTTGAACACGAGGACGAGCCCGCTGCCGTCGAAGTCGCGAGTCCAATGGTCTTCTTCAAGAACCGCAACGAGACTTCGCCCTTCAAGAAGCGCAAGTCATTGCCTGCTGCACGTCGTCTTTCCTTTTCCGCCCCTCTCCGCCGAGCATCTCTTCCTGCTGCCGGCTTCGCCCAGCTTCCTGTGGTGCAGGATCTTCAAGATCCAGCATCCGGGTCGCTGGTGGGTGCTCCCGATTCGTCGGTTGAGCTCCACGCGGTGCAGAATCCCCTCGAGGTTGATTCAGCATCTGCGGCAGCTGCCCAAGCTACTCCAGAGAGAACCCCGCCACCATCTCCTTCGCCAGTCGTTGTCGATGCCAGAGAGAACCCGGACATCTTTGGCTCCTTCCAGGACCACTCTGGATCCCCGATCCAGGCGCTTGCATCTCTCGCTCGCGTGTTTGAGGAGGCCAAGAAGACGGATATGGATGGAAAGGTTGTTGTCAGCAGAGAGGGAGGCCGTCTGATTGTCCGATTTAAGGTTTCGGACGAACATGCTGCCCTCTTCGCCCAAGAGCAAGAACCCGTCGAAGAGCTTGTCGACGCTGTTGACCCTGCCACCGAGCCGGCCACTGCTACCGCGTTATCGCCTATTCGCCTGACCACTGAGGCAGAGGATGAGAAGAAGACAGCAGAGGAAGCCAAGATCGAAGCGGAGGAAGAGGAGGTGGCGCATGTGCCTTCGCAGGCGCCCGCCCCGGTTGAGGAAGACGACGATTCTATGGTCTTACTTAGGGGGTTTTTGACCAGACACAACGCTAGGAAAGCTGCTATGGCTACACTCCCCGTGCCCGTCGAGCCCGCCGAACCCGCGGTTCTTTCTCCCACTCCAGCGGTTGAACCTGTTGCTGCACACTCTTCGCCCGACCCTCTTGCATCCGCTCCGATCCTTCTGGCGGCCACTCCAGAGCGCAATCAAAGCATCTGGGCCGATACGCCGGCGTTCTCGATCACGTCGTCGGCAGATCGTTCTCGTCCTCCTAGAAGGGCTTCTCCAGCTGTGTCAACCGGACGCCAGCCTCTTGGATCGCTCGACGTTAACAGCCCGAGCCCCAAGAAAGCCAAGCGCAAAGCTGAGGAAGTTGACGAACGAGAGGCATCGCCAGAAAAGCCGCAGCCGCCGAAACGCCAGCGCAGAGCCAAGGCTGACGTTCCAGACGCGAAGAAGGCCGCAGGCAAGGCCAGCGACAATTCCGCCGATGAGGATGAAGTTGCGCCTGTCACGAATGTGCGCACCAGACGTCAGCTCGCCGTCGCGCGTGGAGAGGCTCCGGCAGTTACCAAGATCCCGGTTAGAAACAAGGGAATGAGTAACATTAGAGCTGGGGAGAAGGACCTTGCGGCTTTGACTCGCCAGAATACCCGCAACAATAAGGGAGATGCGATTTCTGCTGAGGAGATGCTCGAGGCGATCAAGACTGCGCCGCCCAAGATAGAGACTCGGGCGGCCGCTGCTGCTGCTAAGAAGAACAATAAGAGTGTTCAGTGGGCAGCTCAGCTGGCTAGAAGCCAGTCTGAAGACCCTTCTACGGCTCCAATTGATTCTGACGAGGCAAGCTCTAGCTCTGCTGAGCTCAGCCCCGATGAGGAGAAGCAGGTTGGAAAGGCGAGAAAGGTCAGGGCTTCTACAAGTAAGATCGCTACGACCAAGGCTTCAACCGCCAAAGCTTCGACCTCCAAGGCTGCGACTACGAAGACTGCGACGACCAAGACGGCGCCTGCCAAAGCGACCGCAGCCAAGGCAACCAAGGCAAGCCAGTCCAAGTTGGCTACTGCCCCCAAGACGGAGGGCGCGAAGGTGTCGAAGACTGCGAAGAAGCCCACTGCCGCGGCGAAGAAGGAGCTGGGCCTGAGTGCCAACGGTACTCCTGCCAAGCGTAGTGCTCGTACCACGAAGAAGTGAGCACTTGCCGAATGAGCATAATTGGCTTCGCCGTTTGAAGGAAAGAATCATGGATGGAGGAATTGCATGGAAGGGGAGGAACGAACGGCATTCGCATCGCATGGGGGACTTCAAAAAGTAAAGCATAGCTATGGGCGTTTGGGACTGTTTGATATTTTTTGTTGGTCTTTTCTTGACCTTTGTTTGCATCATGGCCGCCCGGCGAGGCGAGTGTTTCGATTCTTGTTCTACTCCTGTTCTATACCCTATTGCTTCGTTGCGGACAGAGGCGGATGGGACTTTTATTATTATGAATGATGATGATGAACTTGAAATAACTCTAGAATCACTCGTGTTGTGTACTTATGTGACGCGCATTGGGGTGTTTACTGACACACCGCATGTGGTCGCAAACGTCGCCTTGACTCCGAATGTAGTGTCTGCTCTGCGATACCGTAGACCGGGAACTCGGATCAGGGCCTAAACGGGTCAAGACCCTTATTCACTGTGCAGGGGAAAAAGAGGGGTAGCAACGCCGAACATGCATGGCAATGCCGGTCCCAAGTTCCATTGGACTGGATTCTACGCATTTTGCTGGAAACGCTGGGTTATCTCGGCGGATGCCCTGCAATTCGATGTGAGCGGTGGGAAAACGGGATGCGGGCTAGCGAATCCCACGGGAGGACGTTTGACTCTTCTGCATCCGGGCGGTTTGTCGGGTCTGTAAGACTGGCTGCGGTCCATTTAGGCCTGCCATGCTTGTCCTTTGGTCCAAGTACGGATAAGGTTCCCTGCTGTAAGATGAACCCCTCAGCAAGCCACACATTGGCAGACATGGAAGGGAAGGGGGACCTGGAAACGGGCAGATACAAAAACTGGAGCTCCCCTACCTTACCTTTCAGACGGAGGAAGCCCAGTCTGATTGATCTTGCGCGTAGTCACGATTTATCTGCCTTGCTTAGAACAGCGATTCCGCGAAACACGGGAGACTACGAGCAGCGGCGCGATTCACTAGTGTTATTCTCAACGTTTTCACATACCTACACTCATTTCATACCCGTGAGACGAAAAAGGCGCACATCATGGCTGAAGCACCGGGCACACCGCCTCCCACAACCGCACCCGCAGCCGGTGTCGCATCCGCAGACCCGGCACCGACGACGAGTCCATCGCGAGTCGTTCCGGCAGTGGCTATTGAACCAGCTCAGCAGGATGACCCCGTTGAAGCCGATGAGGGATTTGCAGTGCGTCGCAGCCCAGTTTCCCTTCTTGTAGATTGACCGGTGGTTTACTAATACTTCCGGTGTAGAGCGATAACGACTCTTCGATTGATGATAGAATGTAATGGCTTTCTGAGATTCCCACCACCCCATCTCCTTCATTGCGCCTTTTTGTTCCTGACCCAGATGAACGAGATAGTTCGAGTTACACCGCGTCCCTATCATCCAGCGTCATCGACTACCCGGAAGAATATGGCCGTCGCTATCATGCATTCAGGCCGGGCTGTGAGTCTTCCTGTCCTGCAGCATTATGATGGGAATGGAGGGAGACAGCCCATGTTCAGTCCACTGACGCTTTAATGTAGCGTATTCGTTCCCGAACGACGAGGTCGAAATGGAGCGCCTCGACATGGCTCATGCCATGATGGTGAGGGCGATTGGAAGCAGGCTCTGGCTGGCCCCGCTGGCCAAGGAGAAGGTCCATCGTATCCTGGATATCGGTACGGGTACTGGAATCTGTACGTCCCATCGCGCAACTTAGTGATCGTCGAAGCCATGCGTTGCTAATCGCTTGCGGGCGGTAGGGGCCGTTGAGATTGGTGACATTTTTGAGAACGCCGAGGTGAGTTCGTGATAAGTGAGATTGGTGATGATTCGCTTTGCTAAGAGATGGGCAGGTTATTGGGAATGATCTGAGTGCTATCCAACCTGAATGGTGCGTCAAGTCTCGGCATGAATCCCTCTCTGATGATTCCAAAGCTCACTCTTCTTCTCTGGACTCTAGGGTACCCCCGAACGTCAAGTTTGAGATTGACGATGTCGAGAGCGAATGGGTTGGCGTTAAAAAGTACGACTTTATCATGTGCCGCTACATGGCCGCCTCCATCCAGGACTGGCCGAAGCTGATCGCCAACATTTACGAGTACGTAACCCTGTTCCCATTCCCTCTAACTTGTCCCATCTTCATTCTCATGACCCCCTCCACAGCAACCTCAACCCAGGAGGCTGGGCCGAGTTCCAAGACATGAGCACAGAATACTACTCCGACGACGGCAGCTACAAACCCGAACACGCAACCTACGAATGGAATCAGACCTTTGTCGAAACCCTCGACAAGATCGGGCGCGATCCCCGGCCCGGACCGAAGCTCGAGGGCTGGGTGCGCGGGCACGGCGGGTTCGAGCACGTGGCGCACCACAAGTTCAAGACGCCCATCGGGCCGTGGGCGCGGCACCGGCATTTCAAGGACCAGGGGTTGCTGAACCTGGCGCAGATTCTTGAGGGGTTGGAAGGGTTCTCGTTGAAGCTGCTGTGCGGTGTTTTGGGGAGGAGTAAGGAGGAGGTGTTGGTGCAGCTTGCGGAGGTGAGGAGGGAGTTGAAGACGGGGGTTTTTCATGCTTTGTTGGATTTGTGAGTTGTCATCCTTTCCTTGTTTTCCCTTTCATTGTTCGCTGTGGACGGTGGCTCGAAGATTGATTGTGGCTAACAAGCTTTGTGCGCGTAGGCATGTGGTGTATGGGCAGAAACCTGCTCTACCGGCTGCTACAGCGGGGACTGAGTAAGTGTGGAAGTGTCGTCTGACATTGGGATGTGTAGCATCTCCATGTATGGCATTTAGGCCTGCAAAGTAGATTCCGTTCTTCATGGCTCATAGTATAGCGATGTAGCATTTTGATGTAAAGGCTTGAATCCTACGCAGATGACGTTGTGTTTGACCTGACTGGCTCAAGCGTGTATTGATTATGCTGGAGCTGGTCTAAGTCTGACCTCTCGCCCGCTCATCTCATTTCATCTTTCAAGGATTTGACTCTCACTCGGGTTCCTCTCATTTGAGTTCCTCAAAAGTGATCATCGACTGGGTGAATGAATGAGCGAGTGAGCGCACAGTCTTCAGCCCTATGAGATGAACGGGTGGTCCCGAGTGCCAAGTTCGGACGACGCAATGGAAGCGAGTAAACGTGGAGACGGTCAAACCATCAAAATGGAACCTGGAAGCGACCAGAAAAAGCCCAGAAAAATACCCGCCATCAGCGTTCCGATCTGCCGAAACAAACGGGCAGAAAGCCAATCTGACGTGCAGTCGCACCTGCAGCCCAAGGAATCCCATTACGAATCGCCAGTCACACGGCGCGCACCTTCTTTCCCTTAGGCGTAACCCGATCCCGTCGGGAGGCCCCCTTATTTCCTTACCTCAGCCATTTTCTTTTTTTCTTTTTCTTTTTTTTGCCCCCTACGGCCCAACTCACCTTACCTTCCTGACCTTGGTCACTTGACCCCGCGACGACACGTCAAATCCCCCGCCAACCACGTGCAATTCTCTCTCATCCTTCCAACTCCCAACTGTCACTACCGAAAGAAAGAGAAGAAACACAACAGCCTGGAGTGAATAAAAATGTCGCTCTTTGGCAACTTTGACGTCGCCAAGCTGGCATCCCAGCTGGGCAACTTCAAGATCCCCGACGACCCAGAGATCATCAACCAAGGTGAGTGAGCGAATGAGATACTTTGCGACAATCCTCCAACCTCAATCTGCTCTCGGCCCCTCATAATTTCGCAAGACCCCCACCTACCTTATCTCCAAAAGCATCACAACAACAATTCCTAACCACACATCACAGGCCACCAGGACTACGGCTACAGCAACTACGGTTCCCACAGCCAAGGCTACGATGGCAGACCACCCGCGGGATACGCCGGTGGTCCGCAGAATGGCGCCGAGGAGTACAAGCGCGAGCACCCCGCCGCCTTCGGCTCCAGTGACCCCACGCGATCCGCCTACTCCGACCCCGTCTCCGAGGGAAGTGCCATGTCGTCCGTCGCCGCTGGCGTAGCTGCCAGCGCCGCCGCGGGTGCTTACGGTACCGCGCCGCAGTATCCCACTCCGCATCCCGGTAGGTATGGTGATTCCACATCATCTAGCCCATATCCTCAGCAGCAGCAACAACAGCAAAGCTTTGGACGGCCTCCTTCGCCGGGCTATGGAAGGCCCTCTTCTCCTGGTTACGGCAGGCCCCCTTCACCTGGCTACGGAAGACCGCCTTCGCCGCGACTGCCAGAGGGATGGGTCAAGCGGTTTGATGACAACAGCAGACGATGGTACTACGTTAATCAAGCAACTGGCTCTTCTCAGTGGGAGGCTCCTCCGCCACCGTCGGCCATGTCTCCCCCGCCAATGTCGCCGCCAGGCCATGGAGGGTATGGGGAATCATCTCGATATGGCGGACACTCGCCACAGCCGGGATACTCGCCTCAACCTGGCTATGGAGGACATTCACCACAGCCCGGATACGGAGGCCCACCGCCTCAGCCGGGATATGGCGGACCCTCTCCACAACCTGGGTACGGAGGTCATTCTCCACAGCCCGGATACGGAGCCTATGCGGGCGGTGCCGCTGCGGCAGCTGCGGGAGCCGGGGCTGGGTACTATGCAGGACAGCAATACGGACAGAGCCAGCCCCACGGGGGGTACGAGCAGCCTCAACAGTACGGCCAACAGCCACCACAGCAGTACGGCCAGCCCTACGGACAGCAGCCTCAACAGCAGTATGAACAGGGATACGGCAGCGAAGAGAAGAAGAAAAAGAAGAAGAGCGGGAACAGCAACATGTTCCTCGGCGTGGCGGGTGGTCTCGCGGTGGGTGCGCTAGGAGGCGCGCTTATCGCCAATGTTTTAGGTAACGATCAGTCACCTCTCCCGGGCCACGGTCTGGACGATTATTGACCGTGAAAACTGACAATTTCCGCAGATTCCGATTCAGACTCTGATCATCACGAGCACCACTACGAGCGTCGTTCTTCGTCTGGGTCCTCGGACCATTATCGCGGTCGTGATGATAGCGATCGGGGGTCTGATAGGGGGGATTATGAGGAGGGCGGCGACTACTATGATGATTAGGTTGATCACGTACCGCCGTCTGGGGCTCAACCGTTCCTGGAGGAAGAGGAAGAGCAAGAGGTCCAGGAGCAGACTTACAGGGGTCCAGAGGAGTATCGGGACGATGGCGACGTTGATCATCTCGTGCACACCACCGGGTATGGCGAGGTTGTTTATGATGATATGCAGGGCGCTGAAGATGCCGGCATCGACGTCGACTGTGGTATCATGCACACCACCGGATATGCTGAAGTCATTTACGATGATGAGCCGGGTGCCTACGGGGACAGTATGGTGCACACCACCGGATATGGCGAGGTTATTTATGATGATGAGCCGGGTGCTGACGAGGTTCGCAACATCGATAACTATGCTGGTGACACCTTTGATGACGGCTATGCCGATGACGGGTATGATGATGGAGGCGACGACCATAGCGGTGATGACTGTGGCGGCGATAACTATGGCGATGACTATGTTGATGAGTATGGCCACGACTATTATGACAATTAGGTTGGCCGAGAATGTATCTTGACTGAGAGTTGCCTTCCATCTGGAACAATCCTGAGGCGTTTGCTACTCAGCATACATCTTACATTCTAGGCTTCAACAAATGGCATGAGATGAGGTTCTTCCATCCCACTATGCATGTACATCTCGACCCTGAACAGTGCTAAACTCTATATGACAATGGGTCTGGTCGGGTGATATCATCCGGTCTTCTGTTTCGTGAAAGCTAAGAGATAGCAGAGAGCGACTGACAGCTTGGCAATCTCTTTTCTAGAATTGAAGCAAACCCGGCGGAGTCAGTCTGTCCTGGGCCCTGGCGCACTCATTTCGTTGCCGTCCTGACTGGGATGTGAATGGCGCACGCTCTCCAAGACGGCCTGCCCTGCCGCGTCTCGCAAGCATCACGGACCATAGAGCAGCCCTTTACTCAGTAGCGTCGCGAGGCGTAGGAAGTGAGAAAGAGTATCGGCAACCAGTCCCCGACGGGGATATAAGTCCACTGAGGGATGAATGTGAGTATTTGTACTCTGGAAGGCTCCATAGGCCGGGACAATGCTCGCATAGTACTACTCTCGGCGCCGTTGAACGCAAACCGCCGGCAGTTGTAACCTATGGGGGCGAGCCCTGAAGCCGTGCGTCCCGCGGGATCAGACGGCACAGGGCAGTATTGCCTATGCTTATCTTGTGTTGGGCACTCGCCCCGTCTGATAATTGTTGCTGGGATGAACTTATCAATTAGAGTTTGAATAACACGTAGAACCGTGAACGTGCCCCCCAAGCCTCGTTGCGCGCGACTCAGTGTAGAGTTTCCCGTTGTAGCTGGTTTCGGGTACGCGGCTTGTCCGTTGTCAAAGATCGTCACAGCGGAGTACTCTGTGATCATTCTTGATACTTATAGCTGGCCTGTCATCTTTCTGTGCACGCCTTGTTGTTGGAGTATGTCTCAACTGCTGTCAGTCTCTACCTTGCACCCTATATTCTGTCGCAAATACCCTTCCAGCGATTCTTGTACATGATTACCCAAACGCAAACATGAAGTTCCAAGCCGTTCTTTTCGTCAGCTTCCTTCCCTCAGTACTGGGATGGTGGGTATGTTGAAACCTCGAAGGAGTCTGATGACGCACTGTAGCTGATGGATGGGTATAGAACTGCAGACTTCCTAAGGGAGGTGACCTCGGTACATGCCTTTGGGATGGCGACCTGAAGACGGAATTGACTTGTGGCCAGGTAAAGCTCTCTCTTCTACTTTTGGACATGATTCTCACCATCTTTGTCTGGTTTGAACGGGTCAAGTTGCTAATTTGCTTGTGTAATAGGGCCACCCGTGCAAGACACTTGGCAACGGATGTATTCCTATCGGTTCGGGAATTGCGAACTGCTCGTAGACAAACAGAGGGTGTGCACTTTTAGATACGGAACTACCTTAGGTCCAAGAGGTGTTGCTGGATGCTGCATGTGGTCTTAGATCATTACGGTGATATTTTGGAAAATATACCCTCCTAAGTTCTTACTTGGATTCGGCTGCAATATTGACATCATTGATAATCAATCAATAATCCAAGTATGTAGCGACGACAACAACAAAATGCCTATTGCCAGAGAATTCGAACACATTTCTAACTCCTACGGTATCGGTACACTTCCAAGATCAACCCAGTCATCCCCGCTCAGCATGACTTCTCTCACCAAATCACCTCAATAGATGGAATCAAGTACAGTTGGTAAACGTTGAAGTATCAAAATTTCGAGTGAGGGTATTCGCAGGAATTCGAGCGATAGGTTCTGGGTGGAATCCGAACGTTGGCAGGCATTAGAGCTTTCTTCCTCTCATGTTGTCGAAAATGATAGCAGAATCTAGAGGAGTCTGCGATTCAAGACGCTGAAGTAGAGAAGTAACTAGCAAAACAACGCCAGCCTCAAGAAATGTCGAAACGGTGCTTCCTTCTGAGCCAATCAGCCCGATGACACCCTAAGAGTGCATTGGCTATAAGTAGCCAAGGCCGCAAGCGTTAATCATGAGCACAAATAGTAATGGCTCAAATAAACCACATGAGGTCTCCCAGATTCGGTATTTGCTGCAGGGAGCTGACCATACTTATGCAACGCGGCAGCTGTCACCAATGACAGGTCAGAATGCCGCGACATCACGCTTAGAGAAGGGTGTACTCGGAATGACGATAGGAATAAGAATGCGCTGAACCTTTTGTTGGAGCTCTTGGTGAGAAGTTTTGGATGGAAACACAGCAGGATCTTTGTAAAATGGCCTTACTTTTCTCACATCAACGATGTATGACATGGGAACAGACATTTCACACGTTCCTCTATCACTTTCGCGAGAAATCGTAGGTACTTGACCCTTGACGTATATGAATGTATCGCCTTGTACCGTCAATGCACACTTATGTATTACTAGAATCCTCTATATGTGGCCATTGGCCGTAATTCCGTCGCAGGAAGTGGGATTGGGACTGACAGATACCCCAACCACCTTATGCAATATATCATGCCAAGGCAACATCGCCTTTCCATTGTTGCCAAAAACACTTTCCAAGCAGAATTCGTGTTCGTATTGACAGGTTCTGCAAATATTTTACCGCAATTCGCCAATCAAGTGGCGGCTAATGAATATACCTGCGTGTACAGCCAGCTTTGTCCACCTCCATCTTCAGAGCCTGCCGCACGACACAGCTTGTGAATGACAGCCTGCATAACTATTGAGAGCTTCGCCCACTCGTGACGTCACAATTTCCAGGCATACTCTCGAAGTGGAATAACAATCATGTCTTGTGAATTTGTGTCGTGAGGCGTATGAAATTGCAGCATGAATGCTGGCCGGAACCTGCTGCTTAACTATAAAGGGCCCAGAGAACAGCTGGTTTGCCCGAGTGCAGACTGATTGTATACATACATGTACACTCGAAATTCTCCTAAAAACGCTACCTTCCCATGGATTATCACGTCATAGGGCATCTAAACACAATTTTCCCACTACGGCGGACATTTTTAGTCGCACGGCAACATGGTTAATTGCGAAAAGGATGCCAAGAATCTGACCGAACCTGATATCATGGGGTTTGGGATAAGCCTTTATCTTTCAAGGGGTTTGTCTCAGTACTAACGCGAACAAGGTCCTGCTATCCTTCGTTTTCCCAGTCCTAGCATCTCATGTCATCATGACCATGGCCTACGTCACTCGCAGGGCGAACCCTGAAGGCTTTACACATATGGACACCATGATACACAATAGGCTAGGGGCATACGAATAGAAGATTTCTCGCTTGCGTAGCGTGAAATACGAGCATCTTCTCTTGACCATCAGCGATCAGCTTTGAGTCAGTAGCTTCGCACTTCTGGTCGCGTTATACTCCCAGATACTCACGATATCGTCCTTTTCGTTTTCTGTGGGCGTATCACTTGCCTTCCTCTCCTTCGGTGTTCATACAAACTGCCTAAATGGCCTGACACCATACTTAAGACTACATGAAAGGCAGGCAAAGTTACGCATAACTTTCTTGACATTACTAGTGGTCTGTCTTCTGGTTAGCAGTATCCTTGATAACTTATCCACTTCCCTGGGTCTGAATTGGGAGAAAGTTGCCGCATGCGCAACAAGAGGTTCAGGAACTACTTGGCTGTCAATTCTCGCCGCAGTTGCATTTATCTGGGTTTTCGGCATGAGCTATTACGATGCCGTTGCCCGGGTTTACTCATTTCTTCCTCTGCAAGACAACACTTTGCGCCTTCTGTGCTTCACCGAGGAGTCTAGAAAAAGTTTCAGGATTCTTTATCAGCGAAAGACGCTAAAGGAAACCGAAGAACACAGTGCAATGCTCGAGAAACTGTCTAGCGAGGACACGAACTTTTTTCATACTCTAAGACTGGCGATCCCGGTCTTGGTCGACGACATGGTAGATTCTATATTTTGGAGCCTCTTCCAAGACATGTCATATACGGTGTATCTACTCTACAGCCTAGTCTCTATGATTGCTTCGGCGGGGGAAGAAGAAGTCGAATCGTTATTAGAACCTAAGTTTGGTCAAATTTTGCCTCTAATCCTCCTCATAGTCTTTATCATCAACGTATTTGACGCCAAAGGTAGCCTACATTTCTTTTTCTCAAGTGAATCTAATAACAACAAATTGACTGACATATTTGTAGAAGAAAGAGAAGACACCAGGGTAGCATCAACAAATGAGATACAGAAGAACTCAGAGAATTCCGGGGAGAGTCATGTAGCACTGAACGCCCATAAGTCCTCGACAACACATGAGCCCATTACAAGAAGCGAATCATCAAGGCGTTCGAATACTGGAACTCTACAGGTGGATGGTATAGACCGTGAAGAGACAAACATAAGGGGACAATTTAACCCTGCCGGTGGGCAAGACTCCGGGCTTCCGACACCTGGCAGATCAAGGACCTCTCAGATGGAGTCAGGAGCCACTGTGAGTCTATTTCTTCTTTCCTACATCTTTCGCTTGCTTTTGATGTGGGAGTTTTGTTTGATAACGACAGAACATCTATGTTGACCTGACAATAATCCATGTTGTAGCCCAACGACTTTGACTTGCGGGCTGAATACGAGCAAGATCTCAAAGCAGCACTGAGGATGAGAAATCTCAGACTGCAGTTGGCGCAAGTAACAGCAGAAAAGGTGCCATGGTGTGCGTGGGTGGTTCTATGGACCGCGATCGCGATGCAAGCCGGCTTTGTGGCGCTCTTGGTGTTTCGTGGTGCGTGGGTGGCATTATTGATGTCCGCCTATGCCGTTATTACGTTTTTCAGTTCCGTTTTGCGGGGACTCTGGGAGATACGCAGAATCAGGGTCAGCACCAAAGCGATGTAGAGTCTAAGAGAGGGCAGACTGAATGGGCACGGGAGACGGGTGGATGAAGTATCGTGAAGTCATTACATCGCGACCGACATGGAACTTTCATCAGATGCAATGGCTTGAACAGCGACTCACTAAGAGTGAAAAACCTTCATGGATCCTAACGTCTTGATAAATGAGGTCTTGGGCTCGCATCGTGTCAGTGAATTTGTAATTTCCGATGCTTGCGTAACTCAAACTACGGTCGGGCTGTATCTGGGCACTATCATGTATGGTTTTGTGCAAAGTTGGATCCTCATTTAGTACAGAAAACAGCCTTTGAGTCAATAGTTTTAAGGTAGCGATGGTGCTTTTGTGTTCTAGAAGCAAGGCAGTGTAATGTATCCCATGAGGCGTGGAATGTTCATATTTTGTCTGTTTTGTTTGTCAATCATGTTCGTCATTCTTTTCAAGCTTTAATTGCATGTAGCAATGAATGCAGAAGTTGGCGATTTCAAATGATATTGAATTGTGTTCACTGCTCGTCCGCAGAAGCTCAAAGCACCGAGTAATTTGGCTCTAAGTTGACGTCGTGGGCAACTATTGAAGCTTTGCTAGTCTCCTGTTGTCGTAAATGATGACAGAATCGAGAAGTGTCTGCGCCCCCAAAGCACTAGATAACACCAACCTTTAGTACATGACTCCTTGCCTTTCGAATACGATCATGACTTACCAATCCTCCGGACTGCAATACTCTTCTGGGTGATGACTGATACCGTCTTTGCAGGGTACAAATATCATCGTTGTTGGACAATGCTTGCTCGTATTCACACTATCGTGTGTCGCGCCGCTCGTCATACGAAGCCAGCCGTCGTGTCCCACGATACCGTTCGCTGCTGTTTCGACAGCCCACACACAGTCCTCATCAAAAGTGGTGGCGGGGGAATCCACATCGATGCTCCAGCTCAGCTCCACGCCGTTTTCGCGGCAAATCTCCTGGAAAGAGGCGAGACATTGATCCTGGACCTCAGAGATGGTCTTATTATCTGGATGGCGAATATCAAGTGTGAACGTTGCTTGCGAAGCAACTGCATTGGTCGACGATCCCGGAGGAACTTTGATGATTCCTGTGGTCACGAAAGCCCCAGATGTCTGGGCCAGTTCATTCGAGGCCGCAATCATCTTCGCCGCAGCTAATAGCGGATCTTTCCTCGCTGAATAAGGCGTCGTACCCGAGTGAGCACTCCGGCCGGCTACGGCAAAAGTGAGCCATCTGCAGGCTTGTACGCCTCGAACAACTCCGATCTTTCTCCCTCTGGATTCCAACAAAGGACCTTGTTCGATATGTAGTTCAAAGTGCGCCCCTACCGGGTAACCTTGAGTTGCCGAACACGAAGTGTTCCCTAAGTATCCGTGTCTCTCGAGTTCTGACTTCATTGTGATGGAGGGATCTGAAACATCTCTCAGATCCCAAGCCCTTTGTATTGGTATTTCTCCTGCCCAGACTTTGGAGGAGACTGTTGTGCCAGGAAACCTGGCGCCCTCTTCACTATGGGGCTAAGTCAGCGAATCTAAATCCATGAGGGGCTCGACGGGCGGAAGCTGGATTTGCGTACTTTGTCCAATTGATGACTCCAATATCGAATTTAGAGTGATAGCCATTCTCTTTCATCGTTCTAAGTGCTTCGATACCAGCAACGACCCCTAGGATGCCATCGTACCTACCGCCTTGGGGCTGAGTATCCAAATGGCTGCCCATCGCAGTCATGGGCAGCTTTGAGCCCAGTGATCCTCTTTGCCTAGCAAAGATGTTGCCCATCTGATCAACTTTAACATCGCAACCCAATCTCTGCGTCTCTTCTATGAACCATCGTCTCGCGGTGGCATCTTCATCTGAGAGAGTCAGCCGGGCCATGCCAGTTTCATTTGGGCCTCTGGTGAGTTGTCAGCGATTTAAGAGGCTCCTTCGGAAGGATGACTAGGCTTACCTGCCATATCGATGAGCCGCTCCCCATTGGCAAGTATGGTGAATTGTTTCTTGGAGACGATCGGCGTTGATCTTAAGACCTGACAAGCCTCGGGAAAAGGTCGACGACCGGCGCGCGAAGTAGAATGCCTGAGGCGCTGATGGCCTTCTTGGGAACATTCTGTCGCGATGATTTGGTATGCGACTTTGCCATATGTTCAATTCTGTAGACAAAGCATGCCGTTTTGTGGTTTGGACGACGATCATTGGGCTACCACTCGGGTAAAAGCCGTTATCTCGGAAGCAGTGCCGACAATCTGAGTGAGGGGTAGGTATCATGCCTCCCGGCAGTGGATTTCGGTGACAGCTTCACCGATTGACACGATAGCAGACATTGGGCAATAACAGAATACATGGGTAGAGTTACCGAGTTCATTCTCTCAATCCATTTTCGAAAAGTTTATTCAGTCTTGCCGACGTAATAGTCTTTGATGGCACAGGAAACATGCGAGTCTCTCTCTTTTGTTGACCATTAGTAACTTCAAGTCTAGCCAACCTGTCAAGCAGCATCGTGACAAAGGATACGTCCTGTATGCAGAAATAGTGATTGAAAGATTCTATAAAATATTGTTCTAAATTTGCGTAGTTGCATTGGCGTAGATGTTGAGCTTGCGTGTGTGCATACAGTTAATCAAGCATCAGCGGCGTATTTGCCTTTAGCCTTGCATATCGATGAGGCTTCTTTATTGGACGGTCTCTTTCGGTTCCTTCTGGCTGGAATGTCACGAAGAAGGCTACTATTTATTACACACTTCAACTTGGCTTTATACCCATCCTTGATGGGCATTTCCAGTCCTCTCAACGCAACATCAACCTGCTTCTGGCTTTGATTCATGCCCGAAACGGCCATTCTGGGCCTTCGACATACCAACAACAAATCAAAGCCAATTGAACTACATGTGTTAGCAATGCCAGTTGGCCAGGTTCTCTTTCTTTGCCTGAATTGAGGAAAAAAACAAAAATCTAATCATCCGCGTGATGCATCCGCCGGTAATCGAAACCGGGTCCCTTGCTATTCCGACGAGGAATGGAAGGCAAGGATGATAACCACTACACTACAGATGCGGATGTGGTGATGATCCACTCGCCATTTTTAGTACCCATGTACCGACAGCGGTACCGATGACCGCCGAAGTGCGTCTCACGAGCGGCTGTATGCTACAGACGCGATTTTGAATCATTGGAGTTTACGAGACCTTCAAATCTCGCACCGTATCGCGTCAAACTTGGACGCGTTTTGGACGCGTTAGCCAGGTTTTGGCTCTTGAGTGCGCTCTTTAACAAGGTGCCTGCACGAAGGGTTACTGAACTAGAATTATCTTCAGGCCATCTTAACACGAAGCCAATAAAAGCATAAGGTGTTCTTCTCAGTTAGTTAATCCAACAGTGGGTGATGGTGCTTGTCCATTCTGCTTACAGAGTATCCTTGGCGTTTAGGCAGACATACTTCTTTATCGCTTACTATGGTCTGATTTCTCCCCCAAACCCATACCCTATCACAATTTGCAACGATCACCATCAGTCCGAGGGCACCCAAATCGGCGCATCTGAGCAGATCACCACCTTCAAAATGGGTCTGACGGACACGCCTCCCCCTCACGTCCCCTCGTGGGTCGTGCCAGCCTCCGGAGCCCTTCTCATCACAGGCGCCATCTTCTGGGACATGTGCTATGTACTCATGTCAATCCGTTCCCACAGAACAAAATCATACGGCATGCCCCTCTTCGCCCTTGCGCTGAACCTCTCCTGGGAACTCATCTACGCAGCTCGCGTCGCTGAACACCCTCTCGAACGTCTCGGCTTCCTTGTCTGGCTACTTCTTGACGTACCGCTCGTCTACACGACCCTCAAGAACGCGAAACACGAGTGGCGCCACGCGCCGCTCGTCGCGAAGAATATCGGCGCTATCCTTGCGACAATGGTAGCCCTTGGTTGCGCGGCGAACTACGCTGTCGCGGAATGGTGGCTGTCGGCGCCCGGTACCGGGCACGGAGACAAGAGTGGCAAGTGGTGGGCCGGACGGGAGGGATTCGATTGTACGGAGCTCGCGTTCTGGACGGCTGGTCTGGCGCAGTTCGCCCTTGGGACGGGGTGTCTTGCCATGTTGCTCGTCAGGGGTCACTCTGGGGGCGCGAGTTATGCGATCTGGTGAGTGTTTTCCGTTTGTCTGGGCCTCCTTCGCTGTCTTTGCCTCATCCGATCGGTGGGCGGGTTGGCTTCTCTCGTCTCATGAGAAAACATCCATACGTGATGAGGGTCACCGACGTGTTGGGTCAGAATATCTCACTGTATGCCGTGTTTGCGTCGTCTCCCCTGCCACCGGTGTGCGATATACTCACACCCGCTTCCTCTTCTCGTTCATCCTCGAAACGTGTCATCTTGACGCGTGTTGATGCCATTCCAAAAGAGCTATCCGCAGGTCATGGGTTCGAATGCTGTGCCGCTGGAGTTGCTCTGACGTGTGGGGTCTCTTTCCCGGTTCTCGTTTTCATCGTTCCTTTCATTCTGTCGTATTTGGACGGCCATGTTTGCTCAGTCAGGATAAGCACCCGCTGTATTCGGTGAGAGGGGGTTTCGGGTCATATGAGCACACATCTTATGCTGATCACTTGTTCGAAAGGCTCTGTAGGGCACTTGGCACCCTCACCGGTTGGATTGGCTCAACCGGTCTGCTCTGGTGGCACTGGCCAGAGGCCCATGGTTTCTTCGTCAATCTCATGGGCATCTTTCTCATGACGACGTGTTTGGCTTGCGACACCGCGTATCCGTTCATTCTCGCAGGAGTGCGGAGAAGTGAGCAAGTCCTCCCGGACGGCAGGCTCGTTTCTGGAATATCGGTCAAGAAGTCAGCCGCGCCAATAACAAAGAAAAGGTTATGATCTCGGGAATAACATGGAGGATCGCGATCCTCGTCGATGAAGAGTTCTTGGCCCGGGTTTCCGGCAGGCCGCATCACTTACTCATATTCTGCCACTCCGTTAGACTAGGACCCCTTGATCAAGACAGCGACAACAATTTGGTAGAACCGTTGAAATTTGAAAATGGCTTAGGGATATTCAAGACCTCTCACAGCCCGATCGAGGTAGCGTCGGCCGCCGAGACTTGAGACGCCCGTTATCTGTCACCGATGCAGATCTACTGGCCGGCTTGTAAACCGCGATGAGCACCAACAACATGGTGTGTGCCACGCAACTCTAGACCCGGGGTCCTGGAAACTGGCTCAACCACCATTGGAGGAAACCAAGATATGACGGCTTGGCTGTGAGAAGAAAATGTACAGAAGCTCTAACAGATTGCGGAAACTGTGTGATTTCAGCAGGGGTCTTTGCGTTTTGGTGGCTGCAAAATAATCCATCTCATCGTTGGGCTTTGGATGATTGCTGTGTTGGTTGTTGGTTGGCGGCACTTACATGAGATGAGCGGGATAATGTCTGTATTAAGACGATGACCGCAGCGGAACGAGGTGACATCGGGGAGCCGGTCAAAGATCCGAACCTTTTCCATACTCAGATGGGAATTTATTGGATTTCCCAATTTCATGTGCCTCTTGATCGTCAACGATTCCCGTCCACCCCTGGGTTGTGTCAGCATCGTGATCTCATCGGAGCATAATTTAGCACATGCATCGGATCAACCAACAGTCTACCTTGCGGGCGTGTGCAGGTATGACTCCACATCAACAAAAAATGACGGTGTGTTCGTACGATAGATGCAGCAACCTGGACTGCAGACTTGTCAAGCTTGCATAAATACTAGAGCAAAACAGACAGCGGCTTGCAGCGAACCACCTGCAGAGCGCACCTTCTATCACGTCACACAAGCCAGCTATCACAAAACGCATCGAATCAAGTGATGTTGGAGACCAAATTCTGCATGGATCTCCCGGGCTCCTAGCAATCAGCTCGTCTAGACAGCCAACAGGAGACAGCGCAAGTGAGCTTCACGGCTGTATTCAACGCCAAGTGACCGAGAAGCAAGCGCCCAGCCAGCCAATCTCATAATGCCATTTCCGCCTTTGTGTGGCTGTTATCTGGCTGGATGGGCTGAATTAGCATGCATATGTTGGGAACGAACGATTCGTATCATGTTCGCTTCGAATAAACCTTCGTTCTCATAGATCTGTATACCTCGCTCGTCTGAAGACGGGGGTATAGCCTGGACCAGTGGGGGTGTTAGGATAGAAAATGACAACCAATATGAGTTTGCACCTCACAGATAGTCATGGGCGGTCGTCCCAGATAAGAGACTGGAGAGGAACCCAACTGCTGTAACTCATGAATGACCTGCAATTCAGATGCCCTAGCAAGTTTGGTCAGAAAGCGGACCCAGCTCGACGATGTCCAATTAACCAAATCTATGGATACATAAAGCAATGTACGTGTGAAACAGTATCAACACGATGTCGGTCTTGCTCTTGCGCAAAGTCGTGCCCTTTACACTATTTCCCCATTCACGATGCCGCTGGCGGAGCGGGATGTTGTTCCATTTCGGCCCCGTGCTCTAGGGCTGGATGCGCCGGTCGGTCCGGCTCGCCGTCCGGGCAAAATTGACTCTTCGGCTATGAGGCAGTCTGCATGATTTGGGTTTCAAGGGCCTTTAACGCTGGGGAATCGGGATTGGGAGTCCATGACAGCCGCAGGCCCACGCATTGAAGGAATTAACCCTCACCTGTCGACCCTTTTCCTTCAGGCAGTAATAAACACCTTCAGTAATTGACAGTAAGCCACGTTGAATATCAAAGCCAGCGAGAGTGAAGTGGAAGCTGATACACCTGATCCTTGTCCATTGTTCTTGAGCACTGTGCAAGGTCACGATATTTAGGCTGTACGGATACTTTGCATGTACGAATACATTCGTCCTTAGCCAGGGGCGCCTCTATTGCATATCCTTCCGGACGTGTCAAAGATAGGAGGAGTCTGGCAGGGCTGGGAGATCCAGTACGGCCCTTTTCAAAAGCTCCCTTCAATCTGGAAAGTGGAGGACGGGGGCAATGGGCATATCCGTATCCATAGACAAGTGGCAGGATTGACGCCCAAACACCCACCCAAAACGTGCAAACTCTATATGTAGCATCCTGGCCGGAACTCGTCACATGAGCAATGACACCTGCGAGTCGCTCTGCGGAGACCGTTTCTCGAATGCAACGAGGAAACTCGTTGTTTGTCCCCGTTGCATTCGGTGCGGCCTCGACGTTGCGGCCCCCCTAGCAGAGTAGGCAGGATCAGCATATTGGACAGGGTGCTCTGAGCGGGTCGAACGGGGGGTTTGAGTCACATCAGCAATATCCAGGACCCTCCTGACAGCTGCAAGACATCAATTCAGGGCAGTCAAGGCCCCTAAAGCGGTTTTTGATGACCGGGGGGAACGGAGGCCATGGCGGTTCAGCGACGAAGAGCAGTGGTCGAGGCCTCGGGGATGAGGGGTTCTATGAAGCAGAATTAGTTACGCTTGGGCGTTGGAGATGAAAAGTGAATGAGGTTGAGCGGGAGTCTCCGACTGTCGAGCGGTCGAGCCCCGGTGGATTGCTGTCAGTTGGAGCCCACTCGTATCGGCTGCCCTGGCGTGCCTGGATCAGATTTGGGTGAGTACCGCGTAGGCTTGCAAAAGTTCCGGCTGTGCTATACTCAATTGGACCCGTAAAGTTTGAGGAGATTTGCTCGCTGGGCAGGGATAAGAAAAGGCTTGCCTGTAGCAGTGTCAAAGCCTTTGATGCTTGGTGATGAATTGAGGCAGAGCAGACCGCCCCTCAATATCTGGCTGGATGGCTGGTTCATTTGGGGCCCAACGTTGGTGCAAGGAAGCCAGGTGCCATTTGTGCACTATGCTGAGATGCATCTTGTGTGCTTCCCCAAGTTGGGGATTTCAAAAGGCATTGTACCGGTCTGATACGGATGGTCTATTCACGCATTCAGTCATACGGGTACTCTCTTCTCATCACCGTGAATAGCGTGTTCGGTCTCATCGCCAGCCGGACCCTCCTCCTGGCCACCTGAGTGTCAGCTTGAGAGGCACGCGGCGGTCGTATTGCTCATTTTCCAAGTTCGACACGTCATCTCCCTCACCGACTACCAACAACTATGCTGCTGGCGGATTGCCGATCTCCATGCCTCAGCTGCTGCTGCGCCATTCCAAGGGTAGAACATCAACCGCAGTATTGGGGTACTCATGAAGTGGCAGAAGTATAAATGCACAAACGAGACCTTTATCCGCACGTACACATATATGGATACAGGGTAATATTAATAACCTCCAGTTGCCATTGTGGAGCAACGAGACAACAATGCAATGGCCCCTGGCATTCCCGTTTGTTAATTGAACCGTTTCTTCGCTGCCAGTACATAGTCGCCGGAAGAGCCACCGTGCGCTTGTGAGAATCTTAAATCCTCCCGGAGACCGATCCATGTTAGGGGACCATGATTGACACTTGCCCTGGACTTAAGGGACCAACTGAGTTGAAGTAACCGAAGTACAGATACATAACACTCGGGCGAGCTCCGGTCACGTGTTTCTGTCTGTTGATGGATGTTGTAGGGGCACGTTTGCATAACAGACTCAACAGGGTGGCCGAACTATGGCAACATCTGCGGCGACGGCTCCGTGCCCGCCGCGCTCGGTACCAAGGCCTGCCCGTCTCAAATTTCCGCGGGATGGCCGGGCTACAGCAGACGATTCCCTTTCGAAGAGCTTTGCGTACATGCGGCGTATCGCTCGCCGAAGTTAGGTGACGGAAGATGACAAATGAATGTCGTCCATCTGTGGGTTTGGAACTCGCAGAGCCGCCGTCAAACTGTACGGAGTACCTAGGAAGGACATCTTGGGAGGGTGTGCAGAGCTAGGTTCGTTACTCCTGGGATGGGTGCAGCTCGTTGACGGTCGTACACGTTCAGCGGGCATGAATGAGCGTGGCCGACATTCCCCTAGTTGACATTCACCCGGATCAGTACACCTCACCTGGCCTGGCTTGTCCAATTTTTGGATGGTTTGGAGCAGCCCGGAATTAGAGGGATGGCTCGGTGAGCAAGCTTTGCCAGTGGAAACCCTCCATGTTCTCATGCTACCCCTCATCAACGATGCTTCGACAAGTCAAATATCTTAGACCGAAGCGCTGCTAATATAGACCCCGGTTCTTCGAAGACTCGGTCGGTCGTAAAGTCCTTCTGAAGAAGGTCGGAATGGCCTTACGTCAACCCCTAAGAAGCCAGAGTCCGGAAACAAGATGAAGCTCAAATTCTTTATTCCGTAACTAGCACCTAGGTATCCCATCCTTTCGCATGTGTCGGCAACTAGGGTACTGTGGCCCCCAATAGAGATGGGGCTCCCGGTACGTTTTGAGTGATAGCTATCCACTGAACGTTTTGTCTGCAACACCGCGCGACGGGGCGTCTCGGGATGTGGATGTCGCTGGCGACATGCGGCTTGTCTGGCTCGTCACTTTGGAAATTTGCAGAAATATCCGTAGGTCGGATAACTAAAACCGCATTGCCCACTAACATTTCGGCAACAGTGGAGACCTGGGGTTCGGAGGCAACAGACCGTTGAGGAAGCTCGGCACGACGACAATATGACGAAGGGTCGATCAGCCAGCTCGGGATCGTTCTTCTCCAGTTAGAATATCTGCGGGGGTTTGTGGGTTTGCGGTCTTAGACGCTTGGACAGACCGACAGAGCCTTGCCATCTAATAAGCGGTCTGCAATGATGGACCATAGAAATCCTGTCTCAAGTTGGCGGCCACCTTGAACCGAACTACATTTCAAATACACAGTGACACAAGTGCTTCAAAGGCCCCGCACCGGTCAATCAAACGAGTGCTGGGGAGAACTTGAGAAGGGGAGGGGTCGAGAGTGAGGATGAGGGCGAGGGGGGAACGAAGTCCAGGGATGCCGATGAGCGAGTGTCCAGTCCAGAAAGCTTGCCTGTCGCAACCTTTTCGGGGGTGGCTTGCTGGTTTGCATTTCGGCCTAGATGGCGCAGCCAAAGTCAATCAGGTGACGGGCGACCACAAGAATCGTTTCAATGGGGAGGATTCCGCGCAAAACCACCAAATGCAGAGCCCGGGACGAGACACGCCGAAACCAGTCGAGGTGCAAAGGACCATCTCACACTCTCTCTCCCTTGGCAGATTGTTATCGCGGCCAGGTCAGAGGAAAGATGCTGTCACGACATGCCACTCAAGATACCACCAGTCTGATGATATCGACTTTGCCCGGCTAATCTTGTCATAATTATCTTCAGCAATTAGGCGCATCCGGAGACGCTCTGTTCATCTTTGGGGGGGGGGGGGGGCTTTACCCTTCGAGAAGGTGACAAGAAGGCTGGTGACGGCAGATAAGCAGCCTTCAGATCTACTAGGGGATATGATATGTGACAGGCGCGAAGAGCAAGCAGGCCACCACGGGGAAAGAGGTAGAGAGAGGGGGGCAGATGCGACATTCTCGGCCTGTGAGGGTTACCCCTCGAGCTCTTCATCGGTTGCACACATGGCTAAGTTGCCATAGGCTATGACTGAGGGACAAACTCTTTCCAACGGCCCAAGCATCCAGATGAAGGACGACATCCCTGAAATTTTTGAACGAAACCACTCATCATCCCGAGTCACTCACTTTGCTTGCGTGTTTGCGAGTTGCGACATGTAAGCTTTTCATTTGTTGCGCCTGTATCCGTACCGGTCAATTTCTGACGACAAGATGACAGTCTCACCCCGGCATCTCATCTTACTTTAACTGCCGTTGCGACGTGAATGTGGGATGGGATGGGATGCAACGGCCCTGTCCGTCCAATGGCCATAGCTCCATGCAGCAGCGCATTCTCCGGGAAGGGTGTGAAGAGCTTCAGCAGTCTGGAAGTCAGTTTCCTCAGCTCAACCGGCGGAAACCGAGCATCGAGTACGGGAACACAGCAGGTTTAGGTATCTTGAGTTGCACCCTACCCTCCTCTCAACCCCACGATATCCGGTAGTGCTTGACTGCTACGTGAGCTCGTGTGCTTGGAAAGACACGAAAAGGTGTATTCTACCTAAGCTTTCGAAGAAGATGCCACTAGCTTTTGCCCTACAGACGTGCGATGCACTGTTGATCCGGCGCGAATGCAATCAAAATGCGGCCTCAAGAACTGGCCAACAACCATGAATGTACTTCACACAGTCTTACAATAATGGCAAACACCCCATTTTCAGCCCACCCTTTCGTTCATTCACTCTGGGGGGCCGATGATGCCTCATGACGACCGAGTTGCAGCACCAAAAAAAAAGCCGTTTGCTTGCTGCGACGCGCAGCTTCTTTGACACCCGCATGCTGCTTGACAACGGATTTATCCAGCGTAGCCGGCTTGGCGTCGAATCAATCTGCAAACGATGAAGAGGGTGAGAGACTTCTCTGTACGGAGGGAGGAGACAAGATCCACACCTTCACCGGTCACCCAAGTTGAGCAGGTTGCGATATTGATCGCCCGGCGTGGCAGTTAGAACTTGGGCTAGGCTAGATTGCCATGTCTTTGAGTGCCATGTGCTTCACCTCTGCGGGCTACGCCGGACGGCGCCGTTGGGCCAACCGATGAAGCCTTTCATTGCCAATGTCGCTTGGCTGAAGGCCGTTAGAGTGGCCCGGACCGGCGTGTACTGCCAGAAGTTCACAACCCAACTTGAAAGAGGTCATCTTGGAAAGGCCGAGTATTTCGTACAGTCCCGAGAGACTAGACTGGAAATCGGGACGAAGCGTGTGTTAGTGTTGATGCCCCATCGTCATGAGTGGGCATACCGAATGTTTCAATGCTCAGGCTCACTCTCACTGTCAGTCTCATGCTCATACTCATAGTGAGCGAGCTCACATGCACACTTTCCTGTACAACATACAGACTCTCACCCCTCACCCCCCTAAACACTTCTTCTCACATATCCCACGCAGACACACGCGCGCGCCTCACATGTACCTCGAATCATTGATGTGCCATGCCGACGCCCAAGACATCTTCGAAAGCCCTGCACCAAACGCCCCGCAGCTCATAAGACAGCTTAACGAGAGCGCCAGAGACAACATACAGTGTCGCACAGAGCCCAACAGGTACGCCAATGAGGGGCCCGTCGTGCCTGATGGGCTCTCGCATTTGCGTCGCAGCGCATCATCAAATGTATCCTTACATGACGTGTAGCCAGATATATCATTATCGTATCTGTAATGCTTCTGCTCTGCTGTACAATTGCGCTGGACGGTGCCCGACCCATTTTCTCTCATCAGCTGAGCTGCGATACAATGCACGGCATCCCAACTGCCAGCAGCCGCATTTACTTGAATGAGAGGCAGCCCATTGTCTCATGGTCCTGTGTGCCCAACTTGGTCTCTGGCGTGAAATCGCCAATGCCACTTACACCCCACGACGCAAAACCTCACCTCACACCGTTCATCAATGTCGTTGACGGGGGCCAGCGCGCGGGAGGCACTTCGAAACACCTTCAGATGACCATCTGGTATACCCCGTCGTGCATACTAACTGCCACTAGCCCCCACCCCCTCCCTCTCCCTTCTTGATCCCACGTTCTCCCACGTCGGGCAGGTCGAGCTGTTCCAAGTTCCGAAGCACCAAAAAACAGCCACCACGCCTTTCTCGAGCAGTAGCGTGGTGGCTTACGGGACCCTAGATGCCCAAATACGTGCCACGAGCCAACCTAGATTCGGTATCTATAGACGGGGAGGGGAGGGCTTCTTTTCTGTGACGGGATGGACAAATCTCAAGGGTCCCACGAAACGTTCTCTCACCCCACGCCAACAACCCCGTCTGATGCCGTGGGAGTCGCTCCTTCGTCCGGGATCCTGGCACTCCCACTCGTTCTACACCTGATCCCTCACCGAGGACGTCTAGTCTGTATGTAATATCGGTCAGTCGAGAGTGGGCGGCATCGGGCCGCAAAGGGATGGCTGACGGCCGTCAGTGTCAAGTATCGTTTGCGTGGTGGTGTGTGCCATTGATTTCATCACCACCCGCTCAAAAGAAAACTGCCCGCCGCTTGTTTCTTAGCAACCCAAATTCGACCCGTTTGCTCACGGTCAAACACAAGGCCCGGACAGCGCAACAGAACCCAAAATTGCCCGACATCACCACCTCGCTATCCTGATTCCCCTATCACTTGTCTCATTTCCCACCGGCCCCATTGTCCATAAGCTCGGTCTGCCTTTCTCACGCTTTGCTCGGCACATCTCGTAACACGACGACCAACGAGAGGACGGCGGGCCACTGCAGTGCAGCTTCACCGGTCAATCCTCCTCGCGCGTACATGCCTCCCCTCCCCTTGCACACACATGCAGACGGACAGACACACACACACTCTCTCTCTCAGTCGCTCACTCACACACACCCTCGCTCCTCTCTCTGGTCCCTCCCACACGTTACAGCACTAAGCACATCAAGCACCAACCCTGTGACGTGTGTGTACTTCGTAGTGGTCGAGCTAACCAGAAAAGCCCCTCTCCACTCTTCCCTGTCAAGCCCTGTCGTGTCTCGCCTTGCAATGAATGGTAAATGGCCCATGAAGGTACCTATTAGTCCAGTCCCACTCTTGAATCATCCCCTCCTAATTAGCACGCTTTATTTCACGAACCATGTAACCCTCGTTGCGTGTACCAAAGCGGTAAAATTTGCCCAGTCAGTGTTGCTCGGTATATGGAGACCCTGTTTTGCTCTAGTTCCTCTCTGGCCCGGGCGTGTCTGGCCGTGTCATCTCATGTTCGAGGATGGATTTCGGAGCGGGACGGCTATGGAGAGTTACTGGGTGGGCTAGATGAAATGGCGTCGGGGGTGGATGTACGTGTGTATACTTGCGAAGGTATGTGTGCAGGGCGGTTGAACGCTGCAGAATGTCGGCTACTGCACGCACTTTGAACCTTTTCCTGCGCTTTCTTCCGTAGTGTGAAATCCCTCGAAAAGTATCACGGAAACCCACATTCTGCGAGGTACGAAGCCGCGCCTTGGGAAGCATTCGGGGCACATGAACACGAGAGACGTGAGCTTTCGCTAAAAGAGGCAAGGGTTTGATGAGGAGTGAACACGCAAGTAGTGTAAAGTAGGTATCTAAGTTTTCTCAAATCTCTTTTTTTCTGGTATCAGCGCTACTGCGCCCGTTTGTGCTGTGCTGCCAAAGTGCATCCATCTGTTTGGTGAAAAATGTGTGACGAGGCATTGGTGGGTATGTAAGTACAGGAAAATTGTTTGCGCTGTCTTCCCTCTACACCATCCGAAATGGTGATGGGTGGAGGGAACTGTAAGAGGCCATAAGCAAAAGTAACTAGAAAAGATGTGTATGCAAACTCCCGTTACCCAGTCCGCCGTGTGGTGGCAGGACAAACGATGAAAAACATGCTGGTGCCTTATCCCAAACTCCAATTCACTTTCCCTTGCTTTCCAATCAGAAACACGCCGAAATCAAGAACATAATGAAATCATCGCCGGATGAAAATGCTGCCAAGTGTCTGCGGTTGAAAACCGTTGAGTGCTTTTATCGCAACACGTGTGAGTGAGAGTGAGAGTGAAGTAGGGAGGTGATAAAAGTCGGGAGCCGAGACAAACGCGGGCCACGTCGGCTAATGCACGACCTGACCGACCATGAGCAGACAGAGGAAAGACTGAGCGAGAGATGCCGTGATGGAGGGTAGACGGTCTCGTCTCGTCTTGCTTGACCGGGGAGAGCCGCCGCTAGCCCGGTGCCGTGGTCGGCGTAGGCGCCCGAATAAAGTTGAATAGTCCGCGACGCCGTCTCTTCTTCTGCTTCCCACCCTTGCGGACCCTCCCGTCCAAATAACCCATGGTTCCGCACTTTCTCCGCGTGCTGCTGATCCTCGTGTCCACACAAAGTTGCTGTTGCTGGCTGTGTGTGGCGGTTTGTTTCTGTGTTGTTTTCCCGCCTGTTGGTGCCTTTCCTCCTACTACTCAGAAAAATGAAGGAAATTGTTGAAATGCTCGTTTCCGTGTCAGCGCCGTAACTTCCTGTCCGCAATGCTCGAATTCGCAAACGCCGTGAGTGAGATGCAGGTTTGCACCTTGCTGTGATTTCTTTTTTCCGAAAAAATCTCCCTCTTCCCTCCCCTCTTTCAATGATGATAAAATATTCCTCCTCTTACAGCGTGAGCCATGTAAATGTGTTGCTTGGCTCATCATGTGGGATCAGCATGGTCGAGACCCCTCATCCGTCCCCCTCTTACTGCGTGTGTGCAGCCATCATCCCTCCATCGGTCCCGTCGAAGCCATGCAGACGGGAATTCAAATTGGAGACGGCGTCGGTTTCTTGGTAAAAGGGCCCGTCCATATGGACAAAATGTCGCGGAAGGCTGCCTTAGCGCGATGCAGCATCGTCGATGTGCCCAAGCCAAGGTTGGTGATGGCCCCGGAGCCAAATACACCGGTACCGTGTAATTGTCGTCTCTCGAACCTGGCCACCGCTCCCTTTGACTAGGGCCATGCTTGGCGTATTGTTTGTGTGGCTGTGTGACGCGGCGCTTGCTTGAGGTTGCCAAGTATCAAACAATCGTTGAAGATGAAAAAAAAAAAAATTTGGTATAGGCGAAAGCTTTGACGAAATTGTCTTGCACAATCTTTCTCTCATCCCATCTCTTTGGTGTTGTACTTTGTCCCAAAAGGCTGGAGGGACAGAGCCAAAGCGGTCGAGGTAGAATGTGAGATGTGATAGAGAGAACGTGCTGCAGACTGGATCTGCACCCCGGGCGTGGGCCTTTCTGGATCGGAATGTTGTCTAAAAAATGGTGGATGAAGGGAATGATGAAAAAGGGTCTCGTCGGTTTGGTTCGACGATGACCTTATAATCCGACTGGCGTGTTATTGCGTCTGATCATGCTCTCCCACACGATCGGTGCTGAAGGCTTGCATTCGCCTACGATGAGACACATGTTAGCTCCAAAGTCTAGAACGGAAGTGCAGGGTAGTAAAGGCAAAAGAGAAAAGAAAGCTGAGAGAATAACCGCATCAACCGCCACATGGGAGAAGGGTTGCTGCTGCTGCTGCTGTGTCTGTGATCGATGCTTTGGCTTGCTCTATGCTCTCTGGCTCTGAGAGGGTGAACAGGGAGACTGGGCGGGCCAAATTTCCTTGCCATACACCCCCATGCCAGTCCCAATTCCAGGTGCTTGGAGTTAGAGTGGAGTTGGAGACACAATCCCATTTCCGTGGCAGCAGACAGACACAGCAGAAGCACGCACCCCTGCCCGGCGTGGATGAATGGGCGATGATCGACTCTCCAAGAGCAAAGGAAGGATAGAGGACGGCGTTGCCGTGGAGAGAGGACATACCACAAACTTCATCGCCCCTATTTTTGATGCACGTCAGTATATTGTCCAAGAGAAGAGTCAGAGAGGAAGGGCGAGGAAGAATGACTCGGTTTCATCCGTCAAGATCTGCAAGAGGGCGCCATGGTGAAGGGAAAAAGAAACGACAGCGGACGTACCTATACTCGAAATGTGTCACGCACGGGGGGCAGCGTCGTTGTGTGCGAGTGTAGACTGGGCACCACCGCGAGACGATCCAGCGGACGTGGCCGCAGTGAAATTCTCTCTGTGAGGCACCAAAATGTCAATCCAAAGTCCTGGCGTGAATAGCAAATATCCATCATCGTCGGGAAGATGCGTTGTTTGTTGGTCGAGACGTACTTGAGTGTAGTTGCACATTGCTGCTGCTTTCTGGGTGTTGTGTTTTTCGTGGGACGTGGTGACCGGAGGTAGATCCGAAGGGACAAGGAAAAAACCCAGGCGGCGGGTATTAGTCGAAATGGGTTGAGTACGGTGTAAACCAGTGGCGGCGGGGATCCGAGTCGTACAGTCAGGGGTGTGTGGTGGCCAGCAGATACGGGCTTTGGTGAGAAAGGTTCAAGAGTTGGTAGACGAAAACAACAAGGAGGGAGAAGTTCTGGTAGGAAAAGATCGATATAGAGCTGGAAATACGGTGAAGCCGTCGTCAAAGTCGAGAAAAGGGTGGGCGCGTTTGTATTTAAAGGTCGGGGCGAAGTATTGTCAAGAGTGTGGATTCGGATGGGGAACAAGGCGAGGAGTGTGAAGAGCGTGTGAGAGGTGCTTGGAGGTTCTGTATATAGATGGCCTGGGCGACGACGCTCAGGGAAATCCACGCAAAGAATGTAGCTGGGATTGTCATGCAAGGTCAGGGCCATACAAGTACCGCTACGTCGGAGGTATATGTAAGGTAAACGGGACGAAGGGGGGTGAGTGGGAGGGCCAGACCAAAGAGACAGACAGACTGAGGGAGAAGGAAGAGGGCGAGACAAGTGAGAGTATCCGTAGGAAGAGACACAAACACGCTCCCACTGATGTACCTGAGTCCTAGTTAGCCAGCCAGAGCCGGCGGGGGGCAGACCAGACTGACGGGCAGCAAGCATCATGGTCCCAGAATTATGATTGCCCCCTTGGCCCTTGCTCTTTGGCTCCAGAAAGGTTAGAAACCCAGGCCGTGGGCCACTGGAACTTGGTGCCATAGAGGTGGCTTGTGAGTGAGTGGGAGAAGAGAATGGACGGACGGATCGGGCAGAAAGATACAATTGATGCGGCAAGCCGAACAGGAAGGGTGCGCGCAGTGTTCAGGCTCTTGCTCGTCGCCATTTGGAGCACAATCCCTCAGGCTCAGGCCGGTCCGAGGGGGGTGTACGTAGGTTTTTGGGCCGTCCTGGGGGGAGTGTGGTGCCTGAGTCTCCCCTCCTCTTCGTAGGAATAGTACATCTGTATGGATACATACATGGACGCACAGTTCGAGTCGCACACGCTGCCGCTGCACAGCACTGGATATGTTGTCTATCTGTTCGTCAGACACATGTATGGGGTAGGTAAACTGACCCAAAGCCCAAGCAAGGAACCTACACAGCGAGAGACATGGGCGACTTCCCACCATCCCAGGTACGCATACCAGACCGGCGCCGCGCAGTCCCTACGTAACGATCCCTGGTTCCTCGACTCTTGTGGCTCCGTTTTCTCATCGGTTGCTCGGCCTGGTCTCGTTTGGTTTGGTGGCCAAAGGTCTTCCCTCCGCGCCAGTGTGCGTACGTGCTGCTTTGCAATCTTTGCCCTCATGCCGCCAGCCATTGATGCTCTCAGCGTCATGGTTTGTGGGAAAAGTAAAAGGGGACGGAAAACCCACTGGATGGACCCGTGCTATTCTACTGGTGGCTGGCCGGGCACCACGGGTAGCCAAACAAACCATAACGACGCTTGAGTTGGCTTTCCACGCCAGACGTACATGGCTTGCCATAGGGCAGTTTTGCCCCAAATTGGCTCTCGAGACTAATTGGCGCCAGGGGTGATCCTTCTTCACGGACGGCAACACGACCAGAGATAGCGAAACAGGCACCGGCTCGTCCCCAAAAACTACGTTGCCCTCCTCGAGCTTCTATTCGACGAAGGCGCAAGATTTGAGGAGGAGGGCCACGCAAAACGGGGAATGTACTGGGGGCGATGGAGGACCAGCGAGCCAGAAGACAGCTGTTGAGCTGCTTGAAGTGTGCACTTTGGACGGTTGGTGATCCTTGGCCACCATCAAAGTAGCTGACGCTAAACACCAAGCCATACCAGAAGCAGGAGGGTAGAGAAAGAGAGTTTTCTCACAGTGAGTAAACTAACCATCTTGGGAGATTTGGTCGGGATGTTGCACGCTAGTGCGTCTTCACAGCTCTTCTCTCTCGACAAGGTGCCTTGCCTGGCGATGGGCTGGCTGTTGCCTCTCTACGGAGTGCGGATACGCTCTTTCTCTGTCGTCTCCTTGACCAGGTCTCTCTTCACCAATTACGAATCAGAAATGGGTCCCCAGACACATGACTTTCGAGCTCCCGGCAGGGATTATGGAAGCAAGAGAACGTGCGCTTCTCACTGCGTGCCATCAGTGACCAAGGCCCGGAAACCATGGGACATCCACCGGGGACCCTCCCCCTTGTGCAAGGGGTCTGGGTGTGAGTCGTCACTGGACGTGGTAGAGCTGAGAAACGAGACGATCAAGGGGTGCGAAGGAGGGCAAGAACGCGTTCACTCAGAGACGAAAGCCAGATTGAAATGCAACTGAGGGGGGCAACAATGCAGCTTCCCTGATCTTATTCTCGTCACCTGGGCTGGGAACTTTAGGACCTTCGATGCTACAGAGCCGGACAGGGGCAATGACGAGACCCAAAGGTTAGGGGTACGGTCCTCTTGTGCATGGCCCTAGAGCCCGGTACATTGTACATTTGACAAGACAACTCCCCGCACTCGCGTCGAGGACGTGAAAGAAGGAGGCAGTTCTGACAGAGAAAGAGAAAGCGATGCAGCACAGCAAGGGTAGATGCAGAACGCAATGCTGGCGCAGCCGCGCGGTGCCGACGCAGGGCTTGGCTTCACGCACGAACGGTACTGACAAGAACGGTTCGACAGTCGACGTCGAGCAACGGGCAGTTCAGACATATTCCCTGGCGGAATCCGTACGGATCGGTGCCGGAGGTGGTGTAATGCGCTACTCGAGTCAAGGCAGCGTTTCCCACGTCTAATGAGACTCTGGAGTCTATCCGTAGAGCCCAGTCCTCTCTGGAACGGGCATCATGGCTGCAGTGTGACAGCTGAACGCTTTCCGAGAACGACTTAGTGACTCTGGGGCAGGCATTCAAGCTAGTTGCCTCACTTTCACCACGATGAGATGAGAGAGAGAGAGAGAAGTTCATTTAAGGATTTCAGTTGCAAAACAGACGTTGTTCTTGGCTTGGCTGAGGTCAAGAAATATTCCGCAAAATGTAACAAGAAGCGCGGGAACTCGAAAGTATCTGCCCAGACCAC